ACACATCATCTGCCTTTTTATTAAGTCATTTGCATTTGCAATGATAGTGCAAAACAGTGGTAAATGGCTTGTGCTTTAGCAGGAATCAGGGAAATTACATTGAACTATACTATGGGTAGAGTATCCCTCATCCAAAATGCTCAGGATGAGTGTTTGAGATCATGGATTTTTTTTTAATTTTTGGAATATCTGCATAGGATTTCTAGGTTGAGCATCCCTAGTCCCAATACCCCGTTGAACAACCATGGGGATTGCAGATTTTCAGCTTAGAGATGTCCAACCTAAAGTAGCTATGATATTCTTTATCACCATGCACTCACAGGGATGAAAATCAGTTTCACTTCAGAATGTGCTTGATGAGGCCTGGTGAGGTGATGCACACCTGTAATGCCAGGCAGGATTGCAAATTTGTGGCTCGTCTCAGCAATGTAGAAAGATTGTGCCTCAAAATAAAAAAGAAAAAGGGCTGGGGCTATAGCTCACAGGTAGAGCATCCCTGGGTTCAATCCTCAGTCCCCCCCCCCCAAAAAAAAAGTCCTTGATGAATTGGTAAAATAATTAATTTTATTAAATTTTTATTAAATGTCTAATCTTGCCTTTGTTGCCATTTCTAAAAATCCATTTGTGTATAAAAAAGAGGGGAGCTGGGCATGCCCATGCCTGTAGTCCCAGCCTCTTGGGAATCTGAGGCAGGAGGACCATTTCAGCCCAATAATTCCAGGTCTTTTTTTTTTTTTTTTTCCCCTTTTGCTGTACTAGGAATCAAACCCATCCCATGCCTCATGCTTGGTAAGCAAGAGCTCTACCACAGAGGACACAGATATAAAGCCCCAGTAGAGTACTGGGTGTGGTGGTGCACTCCTATAATCCCAGGGACTTGGGAGACTGAGGCAGGGGGATCACAAGTTCGAAGTCAGCTACCTGGTAGATCAAAAAGTTGAAGGTAAACACAAGAACCATAGTGACGTGACTTCAACTCAGTGTGTTTATACTTCAACTAGGAATTGTGCATCACTTTGGCATTCTTTTCTTCTGTATCAAGTTTCAGAGGCTCAGTCCATGGTGGGCTGACTCCATAGCTCTGGGCCAGAAGGGAGGCAGAACATCATGGTGGAAAAGTATGGTGGAGAAAGTGGCTTAAGACACAGCAACCAGGAAGCAGAGGGCACCAAGTTAATTATTTTTGAACTAAAAATGTTAACACATGAGCTGGATCCTTAGCACCAGATAAAAATAAATAAATAGACTGGGGGTCAGCAGTAGAGCACTCGCCTCTCATGTGTGGGGCCCTAGGTTCTATCCTCAGCACCCCATAAATAAACAAAGGTATTGCATCTATCTACAACCAAAATAAAATATTTTAAATAAATAAATAAATAAAGGTATAAAAAAATTTTAAAATGAGTTCATTACGGATTAACTTACTTAGAAATAACAGGATCTTTAAATTTCTTGGTTTAATTTCTAATGTAATAAACAACAGTAAGTATAAATGAATGCTCTTTGAAGGTCCTCAGTAACTTTTTTTTTAAGCAAAAAGGAATTCTGACACCAAACAGGTCCAGAACTGCAGTCCTAGAAAAACTCAACTCACTAAACTGATTTAAAAAAAAAAAAAAGAAAAAGAAAAGAAATAGAAAATGTAAAAAGTTCTTAAAGAAACTGAATCTAGGGCTGGGGTTGTGGCTCAGTGGTAGAGTGCTCGCCTAGCACGGGCAAGGCCCTGGGTTCAATCCCCAACACCACATAAAAATAAATAAATAAATAAATTTTTTAAAAAAGAAACTGAATCTATAATAAAGACTTCTCCTGAAGGTAATTCCAGGTTCCTTTTCATTGGTGAATTTCCCTCCCCCAATTATTCAAGGAAGTAAATAATTTACACGGAAATACCTAAGTATGCTGAGACATAAGGCAGCCCTTGATGAAAATAAGGCAAATGTTGGAACTTATGTCCACCTTGGTTTCTGTTGACTTTCTGTTCTGGGTCTGCCTCTGATGCATTCTAAAAGAAAACCTCATTTCTTAGGTGGCCTGTTTTTTAAAAACAATACTCGATTCCTGGGAAGCTATGCAGATATATTTTGGATATTGTGGTCAAACTACTTTGTGTGCACTGTGTGACAACCATACACAAAGCAATGGGGAACTCTATTCAGGGATGTGTTCCAATCCATCAGAATCAATCATGGTAACTATTTCTCTTGCCAATGACAACTTCAGAAAATCAGGACAATGCCAAATTTAAGGATCCTGCATATGTCAAATCTTATATTAAGATGAAAAGAGAAATGTGCTAAGGCTTCCAGGAAATGATCCCTCTCAAGGCAGATAACAGGAAGTTGTTTCTCCCTTTCTGGAAAATGATATGTATAGAATGAAGCCCAGAACGACAGACAGCTGACTCTTGCCAGAAAGGAGGCTAGCACATACGAGGGTGGAATTGAGAGAAGCAGATATACAGAGTTAGAGTATCAAGTACACCAAAACTGAAAGCCTCACTTACCTTTCATTTTGTAGTAGGTTCATATCCTTTTTCAGTAACTTTGAATTGGGTTTTCACTTTCTTGCAAATGTAAACATCATAAGTAAATTAAGCATAGAACTCATTAAAGAAATAATTTCATATTGCAAATGTACAGGAGTCATTCCCAAGTTTATAAGCTAGACAAATCTGCATTTTGTTTAAAGAAAGGTTCACCTTAGACATTTGTACTACACTGCAGAATTACCACAGTGACATTTGTGGCATATTGTATTATTTTGTATTGAAGGGAGAAGCAAGTAACACCCAGGAATTCATCCTCATGATATGTCAGGTGAACTTTATTCCTTCTAGCTTGGCTTCACTGAATCAATTATCAGGGAAACACAGCTGAGGTGTAAGAAAAGAGGTAGAACCCTTTACAATAGGTATACGTTTTAGAACAAAGTTGTCATACAACCCTGCAGTGACAGTCAGTTCTAGCTCTCTGCAAGAATGTTGTGATTCCATAAAACATATAAACAGTACTAAGAACATTATACTACAAGATTTTACCTGATTAAAGCGGCTTGGGTATCTGCTTCAAGGTAAGACTGGAGATCACAGGCTTGGGTTGTGGCTCAGTGGTAGAGCGCTTGCCTAGCATGTGCGAAGCCCTGGGTTAGATCCTCAGCACCACATAAGAATAAATAAATAAAATAAAGGTATTGTGTCCAACTACGACTAAAAAAAATAAATATTAGGAAAAAAAAGTACTGGAGATCTGGAGTATTATATGGGCCAGTTGTTTATATATCTATCCATACAATGTTCTTGAAGAAAAAATGAATCCTGGAGAGTTTACTGGGCACTGAAACTGAGTAGTTTCTTAGGTCTTCCAGACAAGACAGATTCATCTCTAGCCATCAATACTTATGTCTATTTTAAAGCAATCTAGGTATCCTCTTGTACCAAATTATATGTACATTTTTCTGAAGTATGCAGCTTACTTATATTTAGTTCCCTTTATTAGTTCTTCTTAGTTATAAATGACAGAATTCATTTTGATAAAATTATACAAGCATAAAATATATCTTATTCTAATTAGGGACCCATTCTTGTGGGTGAGTACAATGGTGGGATTCACTTGGGTATTTCCACATGTACACAGAAAAATGTTAGATTTATTCTGTCTTTAGTTACCTTTTTAAAAAAATATTTTTAGGAGCAGATGGGCACAATACCTCTATTTTATTTTTTATGTGGGCTGTGGATTAAACCCCATGCCTCACACATGCAAGGCAAGTGTTATACCACTGAGCTACAACCCCTAGTTGACTTTATTTTTTTTTTTGGTACCACAGATTGAACTCAGGGGCACACGACCACTGAGTGACATCTCCAGCCCATCTTTATTTAGAGACAAGGTCTGAGTTGCTTAGTGCCTCACTTTTGCTAAGCTGACTTTGAACTCATAATCCTCCTGCCTCAGCCTCCCGAGCCACTGGGATTACAGGCGTGTGCCACCATACCCTGCCCTAATTGCCTTTAAAATTTTTTTAATTTTTACTTTTTAGTTGTAATTGGACACAACACCTTCATTTTATTTATTTACTTATTTTTATGTGGTGCTGAGGACTGAGCCCAGGGCCGCACACGTGCGAGGAGAGCACTCTACCGCTGAGCCACAACCCTAGCCCCCCTAATTGCCTTTTTGATAAGCACATATGAAGAAGAACATTTAGTGTAAATGCTGACCATTTAACCAGGAAGCCATACTCAGTTGTGTCCTCACATCACAAGGAGCTGTTTTTCCCCACCCAGGGGAAAAGGCACTTACATGGTGAGAGTCACTGGATCTTTTCTTTGAAGATGTGTTTCACTTAACCAGCATGTTTCCTGTCACTAAAGAGAAGCACTGTCCTTTAAACTAAATAATGCAATGTTTCCAGTTATGCCACTGTGATAAAGAGGGGAGACAGCAAAAGGGTTGGAACTTTACTGCAGTTAGCACTAATTTGTATCCTGCTGGTCCAATTACTAGGTAATATCTTTATGCATTAAAGGCTTAATAAGTAACTTAATCAAGAAAGTATGTCTAGTCTCACTGTTGGTTTGTATCTTCTTTAAGTGTTATATGCAGAGTCACTGAGTGAGTACACACTTGTACACTAAAAAGCTGGCACCTGCCTTTGATGACCATAATCCAGATGTTCCTTCCTTTTCCCATAATGTAATTTAGTAAGTAACTAACATGTTTTTGCCATCCTAATGTTCCATCTAATAGTGTATCATTAACATGCAACATTCAGATCAATTCAGAAGATGTAAAGTACCACCTTTCAAACAAGAGTAGTGAAGGAGATCCTCTTTTAACCTGGATATGTATTCTGATCTACTGAGCTGAACTGCGTGGTTTAGGCCAAAGCTTCTGTTTAAAATGATTACTTCAAAACCAAGTATATGTTTTAAGAATACATCATATAGAACATAACACACTCTAATTTTTCTTAATTTGACAAAAATGGACAGAAGGCAAAATGAAAAAAAGTTTATTTCCTGTATTTTATCCACTGTCAATACTGTATTTTGATGCAACATATTTGCCAAAAAAACCCCTCAACTTTTATTTTCCATTTTAAACAACTACAGTATTTACAAGTTGTTTGGAATAACACTCAGACACACACACACACTCACAGACACACGCAAGTACGTATATCCTTACCTCTGGTTTATACTGAATGCTGGTAAAGGCAATGAATACTTTCCAGAGCCCATGATCAGAAAAGGGAAACCCATTTTTCTTCCTCATATCTACTCTCCTGGATAGCTTTTAATATTTCTCCTTTCATTTCCTCATGCAGAGCTCATTGCCAGACTTGTACAGGGTTAACGTAACTGATTTTTACAATTTAATTTTACTTAAACTATAAGCTTTTAAAAAGCATAAGCAGATATGACCCCACCCATTTTCATTATTTTGGTTGTATAATCAAGCTTCATATATAAAAAAATCTTGTTCAACTACAAGTACACTAAACTCGAGAGTCATCTGGAGCAGCCATCTCATTCTCTGTCAGCTCTCTATTCTGACTTCCAGGGCATCACCTCATCTTTGCAGGCATCACCCAGGAATTCATCCTCATCACATGTCACATGACCTTTGCTGCTTCTAGCTTGGCTCCACTGAATCATAAAAGGTCAGGTACAGAGCTGAGGCGTAAGAAAATGGTAAGACCCTATATAATAGGTATAAGTCTTAGGACAAAGTTGTCATGTGACCTTGCAGTGACAATCAGCTCTAGTTTCTCCAGAGTGTTGATTCCACAAAACGGCAGGTAATGAAATTCAGCTCACAAATGAGTTATATACCCTAATTCAGAAATAATATGTGGCATATAGGCAATAAAGAGAAATTCTTAAACACATAATTCTTGACAGATGACTGGTGAGGTGATTCATAGCAGAAAATATACCTCTGTTTCAAGCAAAATTAATACTCTATTCATATTCTAACAGATCTATTTTATAATAATCCCTTTCCAATTATAGCTCTTACCTAAACATTTAATAAGATTAAAAGAAGTCCTGGGTGTTTATCAACTAATCTATTCTTAAGAGAAATGAAGAAAAAAGGGGCTAGTTTTTAAATATTTAAAAAACCCTACACATACTCAGTGTAATATTAAAATTTATGCTAAGTACATGGTAGTATCTAATTTTCCTTTTTCTCTTGATCAATAAAATTCAGTGTCCACATAAATTTGAAAAAGAAAATTCAAAGTCCACTAACAGGTTCTAGGTACCTTGACTGACATTATTCTTTCTACTCATCTTAAGAGTTAAAGGAAAACTGTCTAAAATTAAAAGGGATATTTTATGCCTTATTTGATATGTAGCATATCAAAAGAAAAAAAATTAACTGGGTCTGTGTCCAAAGTAATTTTATATGATTATTTTACACTATAATGTAAAAGAAAATGAGAATGAATACAGAGGAATTTAAAAAACAACTAAGAGGCTGGGTGTGGTGGCGCACACATATAATCCCAGCAGCTTGGGAGGCAGATGCAGGAGGATCGCGAGTTCAAAGCCAGCCTCAGCAATTTAGAGAAACTAAGAAACTCAGTAATACCCTGTCTCTAATAAAATACAAAATAGGGCTAGGGATGTGGCTCAGTGATTGAGTGCTCCTGAGTTCAATCCCTGGTACCCCCCGCAGAAAAAGACCTAAGAAATATCAGAAAGGGATTAATTTATATTCATAAAAAATAATTAAAACAAAAATAAAATTAAAAAATAGTCTGGGGTGCTCGGGATATAGCTTTAGTTGGTAGAGTGCTTGCCTTGCATGCACAAGGCCCTGGGTTCCATTCCCAGCAATGCAAAAAAATAAATAAATAAATAGTCTGGGAAGCAGTTTATGTTTTGTAGCTAGTAAACATAAAGTCAAAAAATTCTTACATAAATCTACTACTATTTTTTCCTCAAGTCACATATTTGTTTAGGACTAAGAATGCTTTAAAGTTAGCTTAAATTAAAAGACAATTTTAGATACTGGACAAAGTCTTACGTTTGAAAACACCCAGTTCTAGATGAACAGCTCAATATAGCAGATGAACTTCTAAGCATAAGTGGAGGACGCTGTTTAAAGCAAAGTGGGATTTATTCAGGCTGAGTACCCTCACTTAGATGTGAAGCTGCGATTTATATTTTGATAGGAGATGGAAAAATAAACTAATCCAGAAGGAATAATACATTTTCTTAATAAGCTACAGTTTCCTATATGAAAACTTGTATTTTCCTTGGCTGACATTTGGTGCCCAAGAATTTTCCATATATCCTTCATAGCAGAAATATTGTCTGATATCTTCTGTTTCAAGATTAGAAATGTTTCAGATATCATTGAAATATTTTTCAAAATATTTCAAATCTAATGGAATGTAATCCTCCAGTAATGTAGGCCCAAAGAAGGCAAAACACTAAATTTAAAAAGTCTGCTCACTAATTTCCTAAAAGATAATCTCATCTTAAAAATACACAGATAGCCTCATGAGGACTCTCCCAAACTCCATAAATATCAACATCTTATGTTAACCTAGATTCTTGGTAAAATTAAAGCTCTTTAGCAAAAAAGTCAACATTTAAAGTTTTATCAAATATTGAAAATGGTATAAAGAACTCACACCAAGGTATAATGTGGAAGGTAAACTAAAGCTTAATCTGTAGTAATACAAATGTTTTTTGTCACTAAATAAGAGGAAAAAAACTTAAAAAGACAACAACTTACAACTCATTCCAGTATTATACTTTCAAAAGGGAGATAAAAATCAAACAAGAAAAAACAAAGACTTCAATCATGCAATTCTACTCTAAGGAAATTAAAAAAAACACTAGTGTTTTAATCTCTTTGCTTTCAAATTATGAAACTCTGAAAGTTTTGGTGATAACGAATCAAAAACACTAATGTATGTTTAAGCCCTGTACATTAATGAAAAAGTTTAAGCAGAGAATTTAAACCAATAGCTCACTATTGTCTAGAAGAAGAGGGGACAGGAATAAGACATTTATAGTCAATTTATTATATAGAAATATATACTTTCATTAATTTAGATCAGATTATTAAGACACAAGTCTTTCTTCAATTTTTACTATTTCCCCTGAAGTAATTAGAAAAGTGTTATGATTTTTTAAAGACTTTATCAATTTTAGATTTAAAATATAAGAACATGGCTTCTCTTAGGGCTCCTTATATATAAATTTAGTAAAGAGTTATAACAAAATCCAACTTGTTTCAAGAAAAATGCCCACCAACTGCTATCCCAAATTAAGACTCAATATGTTTCATACAAAATCCAGTTTTGCATTTGAAATCTAAATTTTCAGAGTATCTAATGTATCAATGAGGGGAGGGGTGGTGGTGAACGGCGATGGCTAGGAATAAAAAGAATTCTAGCCCTTCTGATGGAATCATCTGAAGTTCAGATTATTTTGTTCCTCTTTGTGTGGAAAATGGATTATCTTCCATCTAAGACTGAAAAGTCCACTTGTCTATCTAGGCAATGACCATGAATAAATCATATTAATTTTAGAGAGGGAGCAAGCAGGAGGGAGCATAATCCCTTTGAGAAGATTTAAAAATTAGATATATCATATATTCAGTTTTAGAAAAAAAATACTGAACTTATTCTACACCACAGATTTGCCAAAATGAGGCAAAATATACAACATAATGACACTATCAGGAAAATATACATTTTCAATGGTCAATTTAGAAGGGTTCTTTTGTGTAAAACTTCAGTAAATCATTTGACAAATATTTTTAGACAATAACATTTGCAAAGTATGAAGTCTATGGAAATGTTAACACAAGGCACATTGGGTTCTGAATGGCCAGAGATTTTAAAATTACCAAAAAGGAAAATAAGAAGGTTTTGAGTGGAAATGTCAAGATTCTTTATATCAGCTATTAGTTTTCATTTCCTCTACTGCAATGTTATGCTATACTGTGGTATCAACACAATAGAACTAGTAGGAAAAACAGTTCTCTTCTGTCATCTTATCAAAAGATACTACAAACCTGTGCGGTCCAACACAACAGCCACTAGGCACATAGCTACTGAGTATTGTGAAATATGGTCAGTGCATGCCACAGGTTGAAATGCTAATAACCTGGGCATACTGAATTAAATAAAATGTACCAAAGTTAATTTTACTTTTTTTTTTTTTAAACTGTCTATTCCCAATGGGTAGAAAGATGGCTGCTCCCAAATGCTCAGAGGAGATGTACAATTTTCTTTGGAGTTTCAAATTGAAGGGAATTTTTAATTTAAAAAACATTGAAAGTTGCAAATTAAATCTAAGTTGCTGTCCCACATAGCCCAATTGTAAATCTGAGTTATATATTTCCCTGAATACATACTTTAAAAACCGATATAATTTATGAGACAACATATGAATTAAGTCAATTTCACAGTTATAAATATTTCAAATTACAAGCATACAATATAAGTTATAGGAAATAAAATTCAAGTAATAGAAAAAGAAGAGGGGGAAATTAAAAGCAAAGTTATTAAAGAGGGATACAACAATAAGAACTGCACCATTTGGAGAATTTTGTTTGAAAAAAAATTTTACTTGAGAAACTGAACTTCACGTGAATAACTTCAAGAGCTAGGGACTCTTAAAAGAAAAGGCAATCAGTTCTTTCTTTGAATTCCTGGACATTCATCTTCTTCTTTGAAAAGCAAAAGCATTTTCTTCCCAGAACTGACCTGGGCAAAGCATGCCCTGAGCAGGGAGTTGGGTGAGCACATACTTCAAGGGCCTCATCCAAGATGTGGACACAGTAGCTGGCAGTAGTGTTCACATGACCGATCCACTGATCACTAGCTCCAGGAAGTGTCAAGATGAAGCTATATGTATCTTGAGATTTTGTATTCATCTTAGAGAACACATCCAACATACTGGCATGAAGTATACAGACTACCAACAGAAAAATGAGCAGCACAGTTCCTGCCAACTATGTTTATCAGGAAAGGAAGGGTTAATCCCAAAGGCAATTTAAATAATGGTATTTTATTTTATATATATAAATAAATGTTCTGAGAAATCTCAGAATTTAGTGCATTGTTGTAAAAAATTAGTGCAGTTTTCTTTAATTAAAGTTTTTAGCGCTCGAGGAATAAGAAGATAAATCTATGTCTGTTCATCGTCTCTCACACTGTACATTTAATTTTTATACTGCTAAGTGTCAAACCGAACGCTTCCACAAGGGTCTTTTGTGAAAATCAAGGTCAATGGATTTTGTGTTCCATAACAACACATGGCAATTCTTTTTGGCAAAGAAATTAGAAAAATATGAAATCATAGTTTAGAAATTAAGAGTTTGTTGATTTAAAGCATAGGCAATGCATAGGAAAAACTTTTTAAAGATGTATTTTAACAGAACTTTATCCTCCATGCAAAATGTTTTCTTGTGGTTAACTTAAAAAAATATTTCAGCTTTATTTGGGAATGGAGACAATGACAAGAGCCAGGGTGAAGGGGGAGGTGCTGAACCACGCCACTATTCACCAGTCTCTCCCATATAAGATCAAAGTGATCCTGTGGGCATCTTCTGGAAGCTCCTCTTTTTCCAAGGTTTTGGAAGTGAGAGGGAAAAGAAATTTGGCTACAAAACACAAGCTCACACTTCAGCCCCAAGTTCTAGTACCCCAGTTTCAATCACAGTCACGTATTTATCATCAATCTGGACCAGAAGCACTGCCTTGTCGATGTGGGATCTCGTACCTGGGTCTCTACTGCAAGGCGCCCATCGGTGAATCACCTAAAGACTCAGAACAAAAGAAACAGTCAGTGGTGGAGTTGCTGAATGTACTCACCTACTCTTTCCTTTGGGAGCAGAGAGAACATTTTGTTGAGAATCAAGCTCAAAGACATAAGCCAGTCCAAACCATGCATACAAGTCGCACTACAAAAAAAAATGCTGGAGAACCAGGCATCTTCAAAAGAAGACTTACATGGCCTTCCATGCCCTCCTGAGGACTCCAGTCTTTCCAGCTGTTTCTCCCAGCTTTTAATCGAATTCCCTCATCAGGCCACTGTAGCTCTTTCCTTTTTGACAGGTTGATCCCTTCCAGAATTTGGGTGGGATCCACAATCTATATTTTAAATAAACAAGGATCATTTACAATTCATTTTCTCTTGATGAAAAATACTCCAATTCCAAATAAAATTTCTTTTAGGGGACTCTGTATATTTCAAGTTCTCTGGCTCATTACAGTGGAAAAAATTTCTAAAAAACCACATCCCCAATTCTTTTCAGCCTACTGCAGTGGCTGGGTCAATGCTGAATGGGGAACAAATATTGCAACTGCTTGATATTCATTTTTAAGTTGGTAGAAACTTTTTTTTCAACATTCATTCAACAGTGCTTTAATCTTCTGACTAAATACTCTAGAAGATATATTTTTATGAGAGTTCTTCACTCAACAAATAAGACATAAAAACAAAAAGAGCAACAGAAAGGAAGACCTCTGGGCTTACTCACTTGGACTCTGTAAATCACTTCCCCTTTCTTGGCATGTGAATTATTTGCAGGACTTAAGGTGTTGCCTGGCTGGGCATCCGTGGCACTGCTCTGACTCCCCTCTGTCCCAAGAAAGCCCACGAGGGTGTGGTGTTTGCAGGCGGGGATGCTTTGGCTGGAGCTGCTTGAAGAAGGAAGGCCATGCTGTACACAAGCCATCCCACTCTGACCGGAGGGCTCCATCTGGTTCACCATAGATAGGCGGGACTGGATGGATGATGGCAAGTTTCGAAGTGATATCTGGCTGGTGGAAGAGCGCCGACAAGGCACAAATCCTGTGGTGGACATCCTGAGAGATGAATGCCGGCTGCTGTAGCAATAGGAAGACTGGCTGGCTACAGAGGCCCGAGCAGGGGACTGTCTGACAAGGCTCGACTGCACAGAGTGAGCACTGTGGCTAGTGCCTGCGGGAACAACAAGGACAACCCTCACTGGAAGTGCAAGAAGTAATACAAGGTGCTTTCATGCTGCAGTTTCCAAGACTTTCTCCCTCATTACTTGGTAAATTTACTTGGTAAAAACTTTTTAGTTACCAGAAAGAGAGACATAAATAACTTACAGCAAATGTCAGGGTTGGGATAAATCCTAAACTATCTTTCACAGAAATATTTCTTAAGAATATTTCCTTAATACATCAGAAATAAAATATTTCACAGAAACAAGACAGTCAGAAATATATATTAAAAAACTGCATAATCTCACTTGTATGTATAAGTGGAATCTAAAAAAGTCAAACTCAGAAACAGAGAACAGAATAGTTGTTGCCAGGGGAAGGGAGAGAAGAAATGGGGAGATGCTGGTCAAAGAGTACAAAGTTTCAGTTAAACAGTTTTAGTAGATCTGGAGATGTGCACAGCATGGTGACGACAGTTAGTAATAATGTGCTATCTGCTTGAAAATTGCTGAATGAGCACATCTAAAATGTTCTTACCACAAAAAAATGGTTAGTATGAGGTGATGGGTATGTTAACTAGCTTGATTCAATCATTTCACAAATGTATTCACATATCAAAGCATCACATTATGTACCACAAATATATATAATCTTTTTGGTGATTAGAAAAAGACAAATGCTTATGAAGGACCTGGCATGTGGCAAGCTCTATAGATACTATTTCTCCAAGTATATTAATGTCCTTTCTTCTATTCCAACAAGCAACTGCCTCTAGAGAGAAGTGAATCCTACCCTGATTAAGGGATTACCACTGAATACAAATTATCAGTGACAGTGAATAGCAGGCTTTTCCATATCCTTTCTCAAGTGGCTTGACATGGTTCTTCAGACTTGTCTTTTTCCTGACTCATAAGAGTAATGTGAAGAGTATTAGGAAATAATCATTAGTTATACTCAAAACTTAGCTATGGGTACTTTATACCTGAAAATAAAAAGAGCTAATAATCAATGTTAAAAGTAAAAGGCACATTTAAAGAAGCACATTAAAAGTTTCTAATTTTCGGGGCTGGGGTTGTGGCTCAGTGGTAGAGCACTTGCCTAACGCATGTGAGGCCCTGGGTTCGATCCTCAGCACCACATAAAAACAAATAAATAAAATAAAAGTTAAAAAAGTTTCTAGTTTTCACTCTGAGGGAAAAAAGAACAGGGATTGAACTCAAGGGCATTTGACCACTAAGACACATCCCCAATCCTATTTTGTTGATTATATATATATATATATATATATATATATATATATATATATATATATATATATATACTGAAGAGTCTTAATTCTAATCCAATTATATATTTTTTTAAAAAAATTTAGTAAAAGTTTTAAAATTTTATCTGATCCATGCAAAGCAGTAGGAGGAAAGGACAGTGCTGACTCAACTGCCCAGGTACACAGAAACAACAGAAGCCTGATTCCTAGTGCACACCAGGTAGATGGCAGGGCTCCTGTCAAAGGTGACTTAGTAAAAGTCTTGGGCTAGGGAAATTTTTCTTACACAGGATACAAAAAGTACTAATTATAAGGGGAAAGATTAGTGGATCACTCTACACTGAAATTAAAAACTTCTTATATTAAGTGAAGTAAATTAAACTCAGAAGTCAAGGGTTGTGTATCTTTCCTCATATGTGGAAGCTAGAGAGGGAAAAAAAGGGGTGAAAGGTGGGGAATCTCATGAAAATAGACGAGAGACCAGTAGAGTCGAGGACTAAGAGGAAGGTAGAGGGGAGGTACTGAGAAACTTAATCTACACAATTATATCGTTCATATATGTGCATGAGCAAATATGTAAAAACGAATTCCACTATTATGTGTAATTATGATGCACCAATGAAAAAGAAAAAACAAAATAAATAAAATTAAAAACTTTCTTTTTTCTTTTTGGTGCTAGGGGATACCCATCCCTTTTTATTTTTAATTCAGAGACAGGGTCTTGCTAAGTTGCTTAAGGCTTCTCTAAGATGCTGAGGCTAGATCTGAACTCACGATCCTCCTGCCTCAGCATCCTGAGCTACTGGGATTTACAGGTGTGTGTCATCGCACCAAACACAAGCCACTCGTCATAAGAAGAAAATGAAAAGCCAAGGGAAGAGATATTTCTTCAGTACAGAAAATTAATGAAGAGTTCAAATACAGAGTATACAAAATATAGAATAACAAAACAAGATAACCAGGTAGAAAAATAAGAAAAAGAAATAACACATCATTTAAAAGTTCCCAATTTTGGATATTAGAGCAATGCAAATTAAAACAATAAAATCAAAGACAACCCTGCCCCCACCTTTGCAAATAGGGAGCAGAGAGGAAAACATGATGATACACAAGCAGGGAGGATGATGACTCGATGACTTGGCATTGCTTCACAACTGCTGAGTATACCAACCAGTGAGAAAGTTTTCTGGAAAGACTTTTGGCATTAGGTATCAAGAATCTTTCTCAAAAGTTCTGTCCTAGTGATTTCATTTTTAAAATATCCTACCTAAGAAAATAGTGATTATAAAGCTTTATATGCAAAGAGTATTACAGAAAAAAAAAAAGTTGCTGTTCAATAGATGTTAAATAAAATATTATATTAGTCTTTAAAATGGCACTTTAAAGAATCTTTGATACCATTAATAAAATGTTTATATCAAATAAAGTAAATATATATTTATATGTCAAGATTTTACATATATAAATTATTAATATAAACCTGGGCTAATGTACAGTTGAGTGTCAAGCAATAGATCTACTGATCTATTTCCAAGTAGATAATTCCTCTTTCTACACACATTAACTGGCCCCCGTGGCTAAAAGGTTCATATTACACAAAAACTTTCCTCATATTACCTAGAGTTGGAGGGTAAGATGTAGCAGGTGGATAAAGTCCAGTTCCTGATCCCTGCCCGGGATTTCCAGAGCTTCCTTGGGACATATTGCTGTGGGGATCACTGGCAGTTGTTGCATTGTTACCAACACAGGAAGTTCCACCTCCAGTATCAGAATCTTCAATATTGCCACCACTGTTACATCCGGCTCCACAACCTTTCCTTAGTCTAGGATAAAATACCAGAGTAGGAAGCATTATCCCAAGATTACTTCAAAATATAAATTCATTATTATTTTTCCAGGTATTCTGAGCCTTCAAAGTCTTTTTTTTGACATTACTGGGTACTGAAACCAGGGTCTTATGCATGCTAGAAAAGCTCTGCACTACTGAGCTATACCCCCAGCTCTGTTTATTTTATTTTGAGACAGGGTCTCACTAAGTGCCCAGGCTCACCTGAAACTTGGGTTGCTTCTACCTCTGTCTCCAGAGTGACTGGCTTTACAGCGTGCATCATCTTGTCTAACCCACCTTTAAAAGTCTATGATGTAAGCAATAATAGGAATAAAAATCTGTTTTCTAAGAGTGGCTTAAGTACTCTATCCCTCTTCTGCTCAATGCCTCAAATCTTTCCAGTCTTCTTCATTTTTATATCCTTTATCATCTTTGCTAACCATAATGAAGAACTGTATAAGACACAGTTGCACCATTAAGACCTTAACTAGATTCGGGCACAGTAGTGCATGCTGTAATCCCAGCGGCTCGGGAGTTCAAAGCCAGCCTCAGCAACAGCAAGGCACTAAGCAACTCAGAGAGACCCTGTCTCTAAATAAAATACAAAATAGGGCTAAGGATATGGCTTAGTGGTCAAGTGTCCCCTGAATTCAATCCCTGGTACCAAAAAAAAAAAAAAAAAAAAGAATCTTAGCTAGAAATAGCTTTTTTTTTTTAGGGGGGGGGCGGGTACCAGGGTTTGATCTCAGGGCACTTGACCACTAAGCTGCATCCCCAGCCCTATTTTGTATTTTATTTAGAAACAGGGTCTCACTGAGTTGCTTAGCCCCTTGCTTCCGCTGAGGATGGCTTTGAACTCGGGATACTCCTGCCTCAGCTTCCTGAGCTTCTGGGATTACAGGTATTCACCACCACACCTAGCTGCAAACAGAACTCTTGGCAGTGTCTGTTCACTGATCCCTGAAGTGTGCAACCCCTGAAAACCTGCTACTGTAGCATACTTCAAGAAAGACGCTGTAACCATTTTTCCTTTTTTTGTTTTGTTTTGATGTTTAAATGTCTTGGTTGGCCATGATTGTCTCTTACTGGCAGTGAAAGTTCTGCATTCCCAGAAAGCTCTCAGTCCTGGGTAGATCAGAACAGCTAGTGACACTGTCTCTGTGGTATTGCTCTTAGGGGGAAAGAGCTTAACTTCTTCAAGATTAATTCCAGCACAACAGGCAATTTTTAAAGAGAAAATTTCTTTGAACACTATCCTGGATTTCTATGTTCCGTCTTCTGTTTGGACAGGGACCAATGTTAAAATGGCAGAACTTTGCTCTTTGAGCACTGGGTACTTCCTGGAAAATTTTTAAAAATTCATTTAAGAGTTTCCTGATCTAACCACCAGATCCTGTTTTCCTTAAACTCTGATATTAAGAATATGAACAATTGTTGAGAAACTGAAAACAATGTTCTGCAGCATATCTTTACCATCCACCAAACTACGATGCACCTATACCGTATAGTATAATTTACTACTCAAAGGGCAGAGAGAAAATTCACATGCACTCTTGAGCACACTAGAAAACTGAGATTCCGGCAATGACTGGATTGTTAAAAAAGCAGCAGATTTTCTGCATCTCATGACCACTGAGTTTCAACTTGTAAAGAGTGCTCCCCCTACTGCAAGAATAGAGTGATAACAAAGCAGTCAACTTGCAAGTTTCTTCAGTGTTTTCTTTTAATTTGTCCTGTCTGCTGTCTGATTAGTGGCAACAGAATTAAAAAAAAAAAAAAAATTAAAGGATCATTCAAGGTTCAAACACTAGATCAGCGATTCTTAACCAGTTACATATTAGATTTATCTAATAAGATTTTGAAGATAAAAGTGCTGAATAATTCTAAACTTCCTAAACTTTACATATAATAGAATTACATTGTGCCAAGGCATCTACATTTTTTTTTTCTACAAACTTCCCAAGTAAAGCAAATGTACATTGTCTAGATAATGAGGGTCAGGATATACCACCACAGAAAAATACAACCCCATGGCTTACCTATGCCAGGTTGACACTACGAAGTTTCTGATATTTCCCAAGCTGATAGGTCCCCCAAGAATTTCTTTAAGCTGTTCATGGCTATCAGAGTAAGAAGTTGTCAGGGGTGAGACAAAGATTGGGTAGCCAATAGGTTGGTCACAAGATGAGTTTATCATGTTTCGTAGAGCTTGCTTTGCATTCTGGATGCTACCTCTCTCTGGGTTACGATTGCGCAGAAAAACAAGCTCCTGCTGTTGCCCAGCCCAAAGACCTCGGACACACTCCTTGTTCACCTGGAAACCAGAACATGTGGATCAAGTTAGGGGCGCCAAGAATACGATTCAGACAAACAGCAGAAATGGGAGGGATACAAAAGAGAGAATGCCAACCTGCTATGAAAAGTCTGAAACAAACACGAGTAGATCACATTTGAATAGAAATTAACCAGTTTTCTTTTGTTATTAATAGATTGTTAATAAAAAGCACCTACAGAGCACTTTTTCTGTCTCACAGATGTTATCAAATAAAATGTTCATTTAATTTCTTTTTAATTGGTGAAAGACTGAATTTAGTGAACATAAAATGTATCTTTGATAGAAACGAAAGGTAACACACATTTCAAGTTGAAAGGGTGTTCATGATATTAGAGTATTGATTAAATGATACAGATAAAAATTAATCGTTCCAAACTACCAAAATGTCAGAAAGTAAGGCTCCTCCTATAGCCCTGAGATGTCTAAACAAACACACAAACACACACACACACACACGGAAAAAGAGTGAACCATTTACAGTTAGCTTCTAATCACTATTTAGCTATACAATAATTTTGTAATCTAGGAACTGAAATTAATAATATGGTGCAGACTTATTAAGAGATGCTGCCCAGATCGATATATAAAAGATAAAAAGACCTGCCGTATAATGAATATAAGACTATCAACACTGAAATAGGAAAAATTCTAAGGCTTTACAATGCAAAAGAAAAATTTTAGGACAGAGAAAGTTATTGACAAGAAAAGTTAAATTAAGTACTCATAAATAGTAAGTGCTAACACAGTATGCCAAATTTATATACACATATATATAAAAATCCCACTCGCATCTTAAAAGTTGGGTTCAAGTTATCCATTTGTGTTTTTTGTTTTTTTTTTAAAATTCAATCAGTGACTCGAAACTTACTTTAATGACCCTAAAGCTTAGGTAGCGCCTATTGAGCATGATGATTTTATATTCATTGGTGCCATCATCCATGACATGCCGCAAAGCAAGCAAGGAAGGAGAGTTGGCAAGAACTGCGCTCCGCCACGCAGGATCCCCTTCATGGGCTATCACGAGGTTCTTTTCATGAGATACAATGGCCTCATAGAGCACAGTAGGGTCATCATACTCATCTGGAGAAGTGAAATGATCCTAAGCACACAGAAATACAAAACATACGGTTCTTAGAAAATGACTTCCAAGATGAATTATATAATTACTAAGTGAAAATTCTTATAAACTGGGTTAATACAAATATTTTTTATCAAACAATATTATTAGAGATAAATTATAGATTCTTAATTATAACCAGGTAAAGAATTAGTTCATTACTGCTATACTGCTTTATTGTTAATTCCTCAATCCAACGCTTTCTTCTACATCTAAATATAATTTCTAATCTTTATATATCATCTTTTTCTCTTTCAAGTTGCTTTTTCATACTTCAGTAATATATATTGTTTTCCAACAGGATTGTTTCACTGCTGTTATCAGTTAAAGGAAGATCTAGAAGAGGTCTCTATATCATGTTCTTTTTAAAACTAGGTAATCTTCACATAAAGCAACATCCCTGGATAGTTCTAATATCCCATTTTATCTTGTCCCTCTGTAGTTAAGATACAGCTCAAAGATCTGAGCTTTGTGCACAGATTAAGTGTTCTGGTCCTAGAGAAGCTAGTAAAGTTTTCCCTGAGAAGCTTCTTGGTCTTAATAACTACACATTCACTTGGTAAGTATTCAATATCTACCCTATGCAAGATTCTGTGGCAGGCAGCATAAATGAAACACAGAAGTATATGAAATGCATCTCCCTTTTACAAACCTACAAATTAATAGGGATTACAGGACAAATCCAGAAAATAATCATAACACAAATCTGAATTTCTGAAATGATATGATATTAAGGAAATGCAAATATTGTATTGGCTGCCTTCATATTTATAGTTAGGAGGCTGAAAATTTTCTACATCCAGATAAGTAACTCATTGGTACTCAAACTCAGTGACTGAAGAATGTGTTTCCTGAAGAAAAGAAGAGTGAGGGTGCAGCCCCTAAGTCTGGGCCACCCCAGAACATGAAAATAATACTGTACATGTGAATCACACTTTGTTATATAAAACATCTCCAATACATCATATTCCATTTGACTCTTACAACTCTATAAAGGAGGTTGAGATAATACCTGGATTTTACATGTCTCAAACTGAAGCTCAAAGGAGCTGAGCTGCTTCCTAAGTTTCAAAAGTTCATAAAGTGCAGTGCCAGAACTTCAACAGTGGTACTAAAACTTCCTTACAATATTCTCTTGAGTGCATGCCCTAAATCTCTTGCATTAAGAATCCTGGACCCTGACTCTGCTTCTAAAGAAGCTGATCTAAGACAACCTTCATAATCTAACAAACTAATCAGCAGCCTTGGACTTCTGAACATCACGTAACTCTCCTTTCTATTAAACACTGAGTTTGCACTTCCCCTGCCAGCAGAGATGTCATATTCTGTACTTTCTTGTAGCAAACAGTTGCATTAAGGAAGGAATGCCATCTTTGCACAGAAGCATTAATACAATTATTTGAATGAAAAATAAAAGTCCAGATTTAGAAAATAGTCACATTCTAAATAAAATGGACACAAAGTTGTAAATCATTAGCCTCTTGCTAAAAATGGAGAAGGTTTAATCTTGTTCAAATATTTCTTTTCTTTGGGATTACAATGTGAGAAATTCTGAAGTTTAAAAAACATTTTAACATGAAGTCATTATCTTTTTCTTAAATGCACTGAATTTTCTTTCAAAACTCTAAAGCTAATCTGAACAAAGACCACAGATTCCAAATGAAGATTTTCTCCATTCCATTTTTCACAGAGGTTTTCAAACAGCCTATCCTAAGTTAGTAATGCTCCTAATGAATATGGAATAATAGCTTAAATCCAATATTTATGATAATAGTAAAATCATTTGAAGAGTAATTCACCTTCGCGGGGGAGGGGAGGTGTGATTCAATCAGATTTGAGCAGAGCAGATGTATTTACCATCTGGTCTCTACCATCAGATCTGATAACTATAGGCAAGTGAAATGAGGAGGAACAAGTGCCAGTGTATAATTTCACAATATTTTTTTGAATGATCTAGGAACTTGGAAATGCATTGTGGGACCTCAATTTAATTTTAATAGCCTAGTAGAATTAATTTATTAAGGCTACATTTGTCCTAACCACTATTATTCTATGTAACACTGTAAGTGAAACTTAGCTCAGTAACAGCACTTATAACACTGAAGTATTACCACACTACATTTGGAATGGGTGGATATTCACTCAGGAGGAGACCTAAATCATAATCATTTGAAGGCAAAATAAATATTATAAGGCTCAAAGGCTTCAGCTTGTCATTGCTTAAATTTTTCTTCATGTCAAATTGGTCACTCTCTAATATTAATATTCAATTTTACTATATACATTTAGAAACACAGGTTCAGGACTCTTTAAGATTAAATGTCTTGCCACAAATCACGTTTTTTTGAGAATTAAGAACATCTCAAGATGTTCCTAAATGTATAATGTAGAAGTCAAATGAAGAAGCTCTAGTAAACCCTATGATGAATTAAAAAAAATATTCATTTTTTTACCTGATGAAGTTTAATGGACATACGGATTCCAGGGACTACTACTTTTCTTAGTAATTCCATGTCAGCAAAGATCCATTCATCTCGAATTGAAGAAATACGGAAATCTCCTTTAAATAGGGCATGCAATCCATAGAGGAATGACTCTAAATTACTGTTAAGATTAGAAATAAAAGTTGATATATTTTGACAAAGGTCTCCAAGACACTGATGCTTACATCTGGTTGTGTATCAGAATCATCTGGGAGTGTTTTAAAAATACAGAACTAAAGTCAGAACTCCTAAATCACAATCAAAACAGATGGGGTCAGTTTTATCTGGGACCCTTGTACACAAAGCACTTTAATAGTGAGTCCATAAAAATAAACAACAGATAAAGAACTTATAAATTAAAATAAATTAATAAGAGTCTAATATAAACATGTAATTACAGAAAAAAATTAAAATAGGCATATTTCTTAATTCTAATTCATTTGGATGTATATATTAATAAATCTAGTTTATATTTAGAGTCCCCACATCTAATATATAATTATGTTTAAAATATAAATGCTTTGGACAAGGACTGCAAGAAAAAATGAAAAAAAAAAAATACAGTAGATGAATTTATTAGAAAAATAGATGTAGGGGCTGGGGTTGTGGCTCAGTGGTAGAGTGCTTGCCTGGCAAGTGGTTCGATCCTCAGTACCACATATTAAAAAAAAAAGTAAATAAATAAAAGTATTGTGTCAACCTACAATTAAAAAAATATATTAAAAAAGTAGATGTAAATGGAACTCCACCCAAGTCAACTTTATAGGGTGATTATATTTTAAAATGCCTTAAATCCATTAAATTATCATTACAAATAGTTGTTCATATGTGAATTTTAAAAGCCAGTTTTGTTAACCACATATATAATAGTATTCATTAGTGTTCAGCAAAAAGACCTACAAAAATATAAAATCAAAGGAGACTTGGAATAAAGTAGCATAAAATGACTGCTTCCACAAAAATTATTTCAGATATAGCTTCTCATATCTTCTTGAAAACAGAAATGCCTGCTTTACCTGGACATATGATGGGATGCAGTTCCCAAAGCTCTCCGTCCTAGAACACAGAGTCCATAACAGAGAGTCACCAGTGATGAATCTTTGTCCACATCTAGAGGCTTTAAAAACCAAAGAACATTAGTTATCAGAAAGGTATAAAAAGTATTTAACAAATCAGAAGATATCTAATAAACTGCAGAAAGGAGAAAGAACTCAACTACTACACAATTAGAGAAGAAAAAATGATTTTTTAATTTCCGTATAATATGCAAGTTAGAACACTGCCTTGGAAGGAAACTGTGGGAGAAGAATATGAAGACAGCTTCTTACTATTCCAGCACAGGTCTGAGAGCTTGAAGTCAGTCAATCTATGGCGTACTGAGCTTCCCCAGGAAGAGGTTACTGGGAATGGTGATTCAGAGAACAGAATGCATGATCTTAAGGAGCTGGGGATAATCTCACTTAAAGAAAAACTAGAAAACTTAAAAAGAAAAACTAGAGCAGAAAACGAAGAGCACACAGCTGGGAAAAAAAAAAAAAAACTACTAATAATTTTCCTAAAGGGATTGCAATGAGATTAGCCTAGCTTATCTGGTAATAAGCTCTTTGAAGAAACTGGGAATATCCACATTTTCAGATACACTTTTTGAATATGTGCTATATTAGCAATCAGAAAGACTTTCACAAGCTATGTCCATGATCTCAGTAATTATCTTTAAGAGAAGGATCCTTAAGTAAGTAGGATGCAGCCTATTTCTGAATGAGTAGACAGCCAGAGAATGGATATTAAAATATGACTACTCTCTATAGTTCTGCTACAAAGTAAATCCAGAGATTTGAGAAGAATATGCAAAACCTCATAGGTATATTTCATGTATAAAAAATAAAATTATTTGTTAAGACACCTGGAAAAAGGGTTAAACTTTGAGGTCCTCCATTTCCAGTGTTATCTACTAATGTTTTTGAGCCTCTTATGAGGTTATTTTATCCTAGTCATTATTCCTTCTTTAAAAACATGTCATTCTGGTAATTTTATGTTGTACATCTAGCATAAAAGTTCAAAGACTACTGCTCAGACAGGAAATATGAGGATGCTCCCATTCTTTCTGGGGATAAAGAAAAAAGATATTGCTGGACATGGTGGTACACACCTGTAATCCCAGCAGCTCAGGAGACTGAGGCAGGAGGATCACGAATTCAAAGACAGCCTCAGCAACTTAGCAAGATCGTGTCTTAATATAAAATATTTTTTAAAAGGGGCTAAGCATATAGCTCAGGAGTTAAGCATCACTGGGTTCACTCCCCAATACAAAAGAAAGAAATAAAGAAAAAAAAAAAAGGTGCTGATTGATGGGGTATCTAGAAGTCAGAAACTAAGGACTAAAACAAGGTGCTAAATCTTAAGATGGCCAGTGTACACATCCCAGATCACAATAAAGGAACTGGTTGTCAAGGTATTTACTATGCTCCATGTTATAAAGTTAAATAGGCTGCTGGTGATTTACACAAGGCTTTTGCTTCTAAAGCAATAGTGGTGGTAGGAATTAGATTTGGAATCACAGGCCTTGACACTGTGGTTCTGTTATATGCAGTTTGACCAGGGATGTGATGCTGCTATGAGTGCCCTAAGACCAGAAGGAAGAGGTTGCTGCTAAACTCTGTAAAGTATCTTACCTTTAGGATAAAATGGGCTGTTCAAATGTGTAGATGGAAACACCTGAATTAAAATCACCCAGGTGACTCAAGAGTTTATAATCCTGGTCTGGACTTAATGAATCAAAATTTCACAAGTGAGGCCCATAGGTCATTTGTTTCTACAATTATATGTACATCCCTAAGTCACTGATCTAGATGTACACTATCCAAAACAGTAGCCACTAGCCATGTGAGTTATTATATTTAGATCAATTAAAATGAAGTGAATGTAAAGTTTAGTTCTTTAGTTGTATTTGATTATATTTAAAGTATTTAAAACCACATGTAATACTGGATAGCAGAAACATTTCCATCATCACTCAAAGTTCTAGACAGCACTGGTCTAGCCTTTGTATTTAGGGTAAAGATATTTAATTATTCTTAAGTTTGGTGGACAGCCCTTAAGAAGGAATAGATTTTGGAGGATAATGCATGAAATTTGAATTTATGTATATGCACGTGCATGTACACAGTGAAGGGGTGCTACCTGAACAGTGAGATTAGGACACTGCAAAAGAAATGAGAAGGGCCACTTTTCTTAACCTGTTTGGCAGAGTTGGTTTGAACCAAGTGTAAAGATCTGACAGGTTCTCTAATATCAGAAAGAGGAAGCTCAGGAAAAACTGACCTCTTAATAACTAACAGAGATATTCTTTCCACCTCTGGAAAAATCTGGATTCAAAGAGTTGCAAATGAAATAAATCAATCTTACCTTTGCTCTCCGAGAAGAACAGTACTCTATCCAGTTAAGGTAAATCACACAGAAACTTTCCCTGGATATGCCTGCCAACCGATGATCATAATCTTCATCAATGTTTGGATTAAAGGTGGGGTCCACATCAACATAATTTCGATCTGCACACAGACGGAGTCCTTCCTGCATTGTCTCATTAGCTAGCCACTCCTCTAACTTAGAGGATGTTGTAACATAATAAATTATACCCTAACATGTAAAAGACAGGAAAAATTTAATTAAATGGCACTTTGAAGACATTTTTAAAAATCTGATTAAAAAGTATGTTAAAAATAAAAACTCACTGAATGGGGCTGGGAATATAGCTCAGTTGGGAGAGTGCCTGCCTTGCATGTACAAGGACCTGGGTTTAATCCCCAGCACTACAAAACCCCATAAAAACAAAAAAACAACAACTCATGGAATGACAAAGTAAACCCTCACTCTCTTTGTATTATATTAGTAATTACTATGGCTAATATATACAGATGCTGCCATTAAAATATGCAATTTGAATAAACTTTGATTTTTCAGGGTAATAAATTCAACTGTTTCTTCAGATACTAAAACCAAAAATATTTTATTTCTAGCTCAACACTCCATGTACACATTTTAAGAATGCCATAATATACCTCAGGCCTTCCTGAGGTATATATATGATGAAAAAAAATCCCACATTTGATATTGTAAAACCACAACTATAAATTCAGCAAGGCAACTTGTAGCTTATTGATTTTAGTGCTTTTGAATTTAGGATATTTATGACAGGTAGAGAAAATTTACTGGCTGCCCTTAGTTTGAAAATTTTGTCATAAAATTATTAAAACCATCTGGTATTCTTAGTGAAGTTATAGAAATACAGTTAAAAACATAAAACAACGGAAATACATACATGTATATGTAAATATATATAAAGGGAAAATGCCACAAACACACAATATTGTAAGCTCAATCTCTCTAGCCTCTGGAGGTTGGGTTGAACCAAAAATTAAATGGTAAGCTCAAGATTCACCTCAATCAACATAAATAAGGTACAACTTAGAGGTAAGAGCATAAAATACAGAAAATTCAAATGTGGATTATTAAAGCTTAGCACACACTTCCCTCTTAAAAAAATACTGGCTTTGCCTAGAAGTCCCCAAACCACTACCATGCTATTTTTCCATAAGACCTTTAACAAAAACTAGAATATTTTGTTCAGTAAAAGATTAGCTTTGCCCAATGAGAGAGGTCTAGCCTTTGATTTGAGGTCCTGGGAAGTAACCTCTAAGCCCTTAAATATCTTGCCTGGTGAGAGTCTGTTTGGCTGGGGGCCTAGAACCACACAGTATGAAGCTGACCTGCAGAAGTCCTAGAAACTTGGATCCTCAGTTCCACATGACCGCATTCCAATGAAGACTCAAGGCCCCAAGCTCAGAAGAGCTTCCATGGTTTGCCAGAACTCTCATATTATTGCCACCCCTTGGTGCTGAGAAAAATAGGCATCTACACATCTCCCCTGGGAGAGGTCAACTGGAAGTGCCTCACCATAGTATCTCTGGACACTGTGCTTGACTGATATTAATTTGTATTTTTCCACTGTAATAACACGAGTACAATGTGAGTAAAACAGCTTTGCTGAGTTGTATGAATCCTTCTAGCAGTTCCCTGAACCTAAGAATGGTCTTGGGGACTCTGAAATTGAAGTTGCTGTCAGAAGTGAGGATGGCCTTAGGGGCCTCCTGAACTTTGCAACACTTTTATTCAGTCTATTGAATGCAGTACAAAGCAGTGGTTAACAGCAAAGGTGCAAGAGTCAGATATGCCTGAATTTTAAATCCCAAACTTTATTTGCTATTAGAGGATCCTGGACAAGTTAACTTCTGATCCTTAAGTTATTTATCTATAAAATAAGAATGCAGGACTTCTTTTAAAAATTAAGAACTGAAGGTGATGGTATATGCCTGAAATCCCTGTAGTTCTGGAGGTTGAGGCAAAAGGATCACAAGTTCAAGGCCAAACTCAGCAACTTGAGACTCTGTCTAATTAAAAAAAAAAAAAAAGTGGGGGGGCAGGGACTGAGAACATAACTCAATGGCAGAAAGCCCTGGGTTCTATTACTATACTGGAGGAAAAAAAGTGAAAACAAACAAACAAACAAACAGCAAGACACACACGTGTGTGTATGCATGCTTGTGTGTGAATATTCCTTAGCATAGAGCCAAAAACATAGAAGCTACAAATACTAGCTACTTTCATTAATGAACAAATGGAGTAAGTTCCACAAAAGAAAGACTATCAAGACCTTTGTAGGCATATCTTTATTGACTTTTCTGGATACCAGATAATTTAAACCACTACTTAAAAACAAAGCAGGAATTTAAAATTTGTATTTGTGTTTCCCAAATGCCTCCGTTATCCAAAGATCTAACTAAGCACCAACCCTTACCTTGACGTAGTAAGTAGTGAGTACTTTCCGAAGATCGAAGACTTGAAGCATAGAAGCAGCACTATTATCAGTGATGCTATACCCCTCCAGAATATACTTAGTGACTATCACTTCCCAAGCTAGCCAGCGTTGGCTAAAAGCAGCATTAAATGAAAGTACATGAGGAATATGGCCAGGTTCACAACAGCAAAATCCTTCATCTTCTTCTACACCTTCAGTAATGGCCTCTACTTCCCGTTGTTGACAGTAGGTACCTTTAAGAAAGAGAGAAACACACACACACACACAGAGAGAGAGAGAGAGAGAGAGAGAGAGAGAGAGAGAGAGAGAGAGAGAGATGAACAAAGGCTGGGAAAAATTAATGGCTCAAAAACACAAGAGATTTAGAAAAGAGTTATATTTTATAGCAACTAAAAGTATGTAATTGATTTACTTTAGAACATTCATGTACAAATTGTAGAGGCATACTATATGTTCACTTCCTGTAGAGTAACAATGTGCATTAGCACATTAAAGATGCTGGGAGTTTGTGCAGTAAAGGAACATCTTTAGTTAAGACTCATGAATTTCCAACCTTTTCAAATATGTTTACAACTGCATTCATATCAAATGAAAACAAAATGAGTAAAAGTGCATCTCTTAAAGAACACAGGAGTTGGGTGTGGTAATGTCTGTCTGTCATCCCAGTGGCTTGGGAGGCTGAGGCAGAAGGATCACAAGTTTGAGACCAGCCTTGCCAACTTAGCAAGACCTTCTCTCACCAAGTTGAAGTGAGGTGAGGTGTAGCTCAGTGGTAGAGTGCTACATGCCTCATGCCTACCCCTAGGTTCAATTCCCAGTACTGCAAAAATATAAGACAAAACTAAAACCCAATGGGAAAAAAAACTGAATCAACCCAGGTTCAGGAATATAGCTAGCTAGACATGCAGAACTCAGAAGAATCTGAGCTCCATTTGGAATCATCCATACTTCAAGCAGAAATACTATATGTATCCAAGTTATTTGGCTCTATAACTTATACTAGTATATTACAATTTAGCGTTAAGTAAAATTAATTTTTTTCAGTTCCCAATTATAACAATAATTGATAAGATTACACAGTCAGCATTTGAGGCTTACCTGCTGATATAATTTCTATTAGGCGTGAGTTCTGATTATTCTGTACTAGCAAATACATCTTTGAAGTTACAATTTTTTATACGAGATACTTGTCAAATAATCATTCAAATGTACCAATACAAAAGTACTAATACAAAAACAGACTAAGTACACAATTAGACACAGCAATCTAGCATCAGCAAAATATCACCAATCCATTAATGTTCATTTTTATTTTATTCTGCAGTCTTGCTTCCATTTAATCTGTATGTTTCTTACATTATGTAAAGACTACAAAATGATTACACTTAATCGCATGTAGCACATATCTAAGTTAGACTATATTTAAAACAAATCCTACTGAATATATATACACCAAGCAGGTTTTAAAACCACTATTTTAAGAGATATAGATGGTGGTGGTGTGATGATAAAAAAAAAAAATAAGACTAGGAGCTGGGGTTGTGGCTTAGTGGCAGAGCGTTTGCCTAGCATGTGTAAGGGACTGGTTTCAATTCTTAGCACTGCATATAAATAAATAAAACAAAGGTCCATCTATAACTAAAAAAGTATTTTAGAAAAATAAGGATAAAAAAAGTTATTTGGGCAAAGCTAAGGAACAATATTGTTTAGTATTCTATGATCTTCAACAATTTTATTATTTCATTTTTTTGCTTAGTTACAACTGCCAACAAAGTCATTCTACACAGTGGTGATAAGAAAAGCCCTTGTCTTGAACCTAACATTCACAGGCTGTGGTTGACTATCAATATACATACACATACATGCTTTACAACATATAAAAATGTGTAATTTTAAAAAATATTTTTAGTTGTCAATGGACCTTTTATTTAATATTTATTTTTTTGGTTATAGTTGGGCACAATACCTTTATTTAATTTATTTTTATGTGGTGCTGTGGATTGAACCCAGGGCCTCGCATGTGCTAGGCAAGAGCTCTACCACTAAGCCACAACCCCAGCCCTATCAGTGGACCTTTATTTTATTTATTTATACGCAGTGCTGAGAATCAAACCCAGTGCCTCACACATTCCAGGCAAGCTCTCTACCCCTGAGCCACAAACCCAGCCCCAAATATGTGCAATTTTGTAGTATGTTTTAAAAAAGAAAGAAAATGAAATGTAATCAAATATTTTCTGGCATTTTTAAAATAATCATATTTTCTCCTGTGGCCTATTAAAATAGAACAAATTATATTAATTTGCTTTCTACTACTTGATTTCAAAAAATGAAAACAGGCTAAATTTGTGTGGGGTACTTAAAAAAAACACTGCTGAATCTTGCTTATTCTAGAATTGGTCAATTTTTGCATCTATAAATACAAATAAAATTAAACTATACTTATTTTTACTCTTACTTGGACATCAATATTATATTAGTTTTGTTAAAAGCCTTGAGAAATTTTCATTCTTTATCCATGTGCTAGGACAAGTTGGACGACAGAAAAATTATCCAATTTCCAGATGAAATGTCCTGAGCCACTTTTTAAAAGTATCATAGTATTAAGAGTTCTCTTTTGATTTTATGTGTTATTACTTCATTTTACTCATTTTGCTATCTCTTTAGAGAAGTTGATAAAAATTTTATTTAAAATTTTTATTCCAAAGGGTACTCTTGTACATTGCTGGTGGGACTGCAAATTGGTGCGGCCAATTTGGAAAGCAGTATGGAGATTCCTGGGAAAGCTGGGAATGGAACCACCATTTGACCCAGCTATTGCCCTTCTTGGACTATTCCCTGAAGACCTTAAAAGAGGTACTACAGGGATATTGCCACATCGATGTTCTTAGCAGCACAATTCACAATAGCTAGACTGTGGAACCAACCCAGATGCCCTTCAATAGATGAATGGATAAAAACAATGTGGCATTTATACACCATGGAGTATTACACAGCACTAAAAAATGACAAAATCATGGAATTTGCAGGGAAATGGATGGCACTAGAGCAGATTATGCTAAGTGAAGCTAGCCAATCCCTAAAAAACAAATACCAAATGTCTTCTTTGAAATAATGAGAGCAACTAAAAACAGAGCAGGGAGGAAGAGCAGGAAGAAAAGATTAACATTAAACAGAGACATGAGGTGGGAGGGAAAGGGAGAGAAAAGGGAAATTGCACGGAAATGGAAGGAGACCCTCATTGTTATACAAAATTACATATAAGAGGTTGTGAGGGGAAAGGGAAAAATAAACAAGGAGAGAAATGAATTACAGTAGATGGGGTAGAGAGAGAAGATGGGAGGGGAGGGGAGAGGGGATAGTTGAGGATAGGAAAGGTAGCAGAATACAACAGTTACTAATATGGCATTATGTAAAAATGTGGATGTGTAACCGATGTGATTCTGCAATCTGTATTTGGGGTAAAATTGGGAGTTCATAACCCACTTGAATCTAATGTATGAAATATGATATGTCAAGAGCTTTGTAATGTTTTGAACAACCAATAAAAAAAAAGGCAAAAAAAAAATTTTATTCCTTTGAGACAGGGTCTCACTAAGTTGCTTGGGGCCTCCCTAAATTGCTGAGGCTGGCTTTGAATCTGTGATCCTCCTGCCTCAGCCTCCCAAGTCACTGGGATTACAGGTGTCTATCACCACACCTAGCTGATAAAAGGTTTTTTATTATTTATTTATTTTTGTGCCAGGGATTGAATCCAGGGGCACTCAACCACTGAGCCACTTCCCCAGCCTTTTTTATTTTTTATTTTGCTCAAGACCTCACTAAGCTGCTTAGGCTGCTTTGAATTTGTGATCCTGCTGCCTCAGCCTCCTGAACTGTTGGGCACATGCCTGGCTGATGAACAGTTTTTAAATGAGGAAATAACATAATGAGAGCTGTATGTAGTGCATGTTACTTGGTTAGTGGTGTATGGAGAACAGATATGGCAAAAGGGAATTTGGAAATTCTAAAGTTCAATAAGGTCCTTTTTCAGAGTAGCAGAATAGGTGAATGGGATAATTAAATTTAAGGAGGATGTTTTTGTTCTCATACATCAACCCCTTTCCCATGAGACTATCTACAGCTTCAACATACCCCAGTAACATATTTTCCTCAGAAAATAAAGTCAATAATAAGTATAAGAATATTTATAATTGAAAGAAGAATTGTAAGATTTGCAAAGTGATTTTAGCATTTCTATGAGAAACCATCCCAATTGTTCCCTGGATTAGCTATGTCTTTCAGCCACTCAGAGTAAGTATTATAAGTAAAAATGAAAAGAACTAAAAATCTTGAAAAGTGAACATATTCAAATAAATCTGAATAAAAAGTAAAAGAATCCAATCAATATAACAAACTTTTGACATGGTAATTTAGAATTGGAAAAGTGTTCTTGATACAAGTAACACAAATAGTGACAACGGTAGATGCTGTAATCAGAAATTTATAATATGGAGAATAAACTGGTAACTCTAATTTTTCACATAAGACTTGCAGGGCAAAGAATCTTGAAATTATTGGTAAAATAAAAATGGAAATAAAAAAATACATGAATGGGTTTAAGTAAGACCTATAGGAAATTTATCAAGAAATCTGTTCAGTTAAATACTGCTTAAAATTAACCTCCAAGGGACTGCAGATTGGTGCAGCCAATTTGGAAAGCAGTATGGAGATTTCTTGGAAAGCTGGGAATGGAGCCACCATTTGACCCAGCTATTCCCCTTCTTGGTCTATTCCCTAAAGACCTAAAAAGAGCATGCTACAGGGACACTGCTACATCGATGTTCATAGCAGCACAGTTCACAATAGCAAGACTGTGGAACCAACCTAGATGCCCTTCAATAGACGAATGGATAAAAAAAATGTGGCATTTATACACAATGGAGTATTACTCTGCATTAAAAAATGACAAAATCATAGAATTTACAGGGAAATGGATGGCATTAGAGCAGATTATGCTAAGTGAAGCTAGCCAATCCCTAAAAAACAAATGCCAAATGTCTTCTTTGATATAAGGAGAGTAACTAAGATCAGAGTAGGGACGAAGAGCAGGAGAAGATTAACATTTAACAGGGATGAGAGGTGGGAGGGAAAGGGAGAGAGAAGGGAAATTGCATGGTAATGGAAGGAGACCCTCAGGGTTATACAGTGGAGGGGGCAGAGAGAGAGGAGGGGAGGGGAGGGGAGGGGAGAGGTGGGGAGGGGGGAGGGTGGAGGATGGGAAAGGCAGCGGAGCACAACAGACACTAGTATGGCAATATGTAAATCAATGGATGTGTAACTGATGTGATTCTGCAATCTGTGTATGGGGTGAAGGTGGGAGTTCATAACCCACTTGAATCAAAGTGTGGAATATGATATGTCAAGATATTTGTAATGTTTTGAACAACCCACAATAAAAAATTAAAAAAAAAAATTAACCACCAAAAGTAAATTTAATTTGTGTAATTGAGCATACCCCAGAAATACACCAAAACACTCAAGAGATCCACATATTTGTTTGGCAAGAGAATACTCTTGGGGTAGAAGGAAGTAGGTGGGACAAGGGATAACAATGATAACCAAGAATCACATCAATATTTGAGGAGCAAGAACATAATCACACCCATGAAGAGTTCTGGAATGAAAAGGAGAAGACAGCATTTTAGTCAATCTACAAAGTTAGAAAAGTTATTAGATACTAACTGCTGTGTGTGATAAGTGCTGAAACAAAATGACAATTGAAGCAGATGTGATTTCTGTCCCTGAAGTTTGGCCAACTTCAGCCTTGGCCAAATCCAAGTTAAGGATGGTTTTTGTATTTTTTAAAGATTATTTAAAAACAACAATAAAGAGTACCCAACAGAGAAAGGGCAGAAAGTCTAAAATATTTACCATGTAACTCCCAACAGGAAAAGTTTACCAACCCCCAGGGCTAGAGAAGAAAAAAACTTTAAACAAATAAACATAAATAAGTATAAAATTATTTCTGTGATAAGAACTAAGAAAATTAAAACAAGGTAAGATGAAATGTAATCATGTGGGACAGGTGGTCAGGGAAGGCTCTTTGCAAAGTAACACTTAGGGTAATCCCTAAGTATAATTAAGGAATTAGCCAGATGGGAGGTTGGTGGGATAAGGGAGATGATGGGGCTTTCTGGGGGGAAAATGTGGGGTGACAAGGAGTTCTTAGTTAAGAACTGAACACATCTAAGAAACTGAAAGGTGACTAGAGTGGGCGAGGAGAGTGGGGTAGAGTGAGAATGCAGAAAATGGCAAACCCAAATCATTTAGCATTGTAGGATGTGTTAGAGTATTTGAATTTTAATTTAAGTGTATCAGGAGTCACTGAAAACTTTCATGCACAGGAATGACATGATCAACTCTAAAAAAAAAAAAAAAGAAAAAAAGAAAAGAAAAGAAAAGAAAAGGAAAACCAAAATACCAACACAACATCTGAACGAATTACAGCTATCCTTGCTATCCAAATCTAGCCATGTGGTCAGATAGTAAGGGATAGTATGTTTCCAAATTTGACTTGAATTTTGATTGATAAACAACTATAGCTTGAACAGCCAAGCATTTGTCCAAAAACTTATTTCAATCTATTCAGTACCAGAGAGGGAAAGTTGGGAAAATGAGAATTTGTATCATTTTTTGATTTGATTAATTTATCATCAATATTATAGTAGATAAGTATGATAGTAGATAAGAGCAAGTGATAAAAAGACCTTCTTCCATTTCACAAAAGTAAAGGCTAGAAAAAAGCCTCCCCATGCATTTTTTTGTTTGTTTGTTGTTGTTGTTTTAATTAAGTTAAAAAACTAGGTGAAATCCTCAGGTCCCAAAAGTTAAAGGAATTTTAAAGTTCTAGCAGTGGTAAGTCTGAGGGTACAGTGTAGACTTTTACAGAAGTCCACTTGGATTACATTTGAACAGGATGGGGGTAGATAGAATTAAGGTCCAGAGTAAATGGAATAAAGGTGCAAGGTTGGGATGGAAAGGCAGAATCAAACATCCACCCAACAAGAAGAGAATATTTTAGGAACAGAAGAGGGGAGACAAAGGGGTACAAATGAAAAATATCAATATTTATGACAATTTGAGCACTGTGTAAGTACTAGTTATCAGAGTAGTTTCTAGGGCTAGGGCTGTAGTTCAGTGGCAAAGTGCTTGGCTATCATGTGCGAGACACTTGGTTTGATCCTTAGCACCACTAAAAAATAAATAAATAAAGGCATTCTGTCCATCTACAACTATAAAAACAAAAACAGAATGGTTTCTAGACAAGCACTTGCTCTACCACAGAACTCCATAACAATCTTTCTGATTCAATATCAAGGTAAAAATTAACCTTTAGGGCAGAGATCCGATTGATTCTCTTCCTAGTCAAATGTTTTCTTATTTCCTACTCCAGACTAAAAACACCACAAAAAACTTCTTAGGATAGAACAAAAACTCTCTAAAGCTCTTTAGTCCAAATGTTCCCATACACCAAAAGATATTCAAACACAGGATTTGAAATTCCTATAAAAGAAGTTTCTATTTTATGCTTAGAAGTTATTCAACTTAAGGGGGCTGGGGCTCAGTGGTAGAGCACTTGCCTGGCATGTGTAAGGCACTAGGTTCGATCCTCAGCATCATATAAAAATAAGTAAATAAAATAAAGGTATTGTGTCCATCTACAACTAAAACTATTTAAATAAAAAAAAGAAGTTATTCAACTTAAGATGTGGAGAAAAAGGAACACTTTTACACTGTTGGTGGGATTGTAAATTAATACAACCACTATGGAAATCAGAATGGAGGTTCCTTAAAAGATAAGGCATGGAACCATTATACAACCCAGCTTTATCACTCCTCAGTGTTTATCCTAAAGAATTAAAGTAATAAAACCACAGTGATACATGTATAACCATGTTTATAGCAGCACAATTCACAATAGCCAAACTGTGGAACCAGTTAGGTATCCATCAAAAGAGAAATGGATAAAGAATCTGTGGTATATATACACAATGAAGTTTATACAATGAAGTTTACTCAGCCATAATGAAAAATGAAATTACATCATTTGCAAGAAAATGGATAGAACTAGAGATCATTATGTTAAATGAAATAAGTCAAACTCAGAAGGTCAAGAAACTTAGGTTTTCGCTCTTATGTGGAAGCTAGAGAGGAAAAAGGAAAAGGAAGGTGGGGGCAGATCTCACAGAAATCAAAGGGAGATCAGAGGAAAGGGACAAAGGAGTAGGAGATGGGGAGGAGGGAAAACTGCTAGGGAGTGATATTGGCCAAATTATGTTGTTATATTGTGTGCCTGTATGACTATGCAAAAATAAATCCTATCATTATGTACAACTATTAAAAAATGGAAAAATATGAGTTAATACAGGTAAAGTGCACAGAACAGTATCTGGCACACAGTGTTAGCTGTATTAATAAAACAAAAAAGAAGTTATTTAACTTCTAGGAGTTGACAACAACAAGCTGATGTTTCTGAATGTACCAGTTTCTGTGAAGAAACAGCTTCATTTGTCAGTAAATAAAACTGTGGAGAGCATGTGGAAGAGGCATAAGGAGTAACTACTTCATAGACATGAGGTTTTATTTGGAACTAGACAGAGGTGGGAGTTGCAGAACACTGCAAATGTACGTACAAAATGCCAGTGATTTCTTCATTTTAAGTGATTAATTTTAGGTGAATTTCACTTTTTAATTGAAAAAAATTGTTGAGGACAATGGCACGGTGACTCTCTGAACATCACTCAGTCAACCACTCTGTCTCACACAACACAACATTCTATGCCACTAGCCATTGAGCAAACATATGCAATTTGTCACAAAAGGGCCTGGCAAAAGACCAAGCAAAGAGCAATAGAAGTTCAATATCTCCAGGTAAATAAGTCGACTGTATACTAATGCTACTACATTCACATATAATGCAACACCAAAAAATTACTCTCTAGTGACTATGAAATTGGGCAAGGGGCTAATAATTACTCTTTTAACAACTTTTCTCATTCCATAATCCCAAAAATCTAATTTTATGAACACTTTCAATTTGAGATATAAACACACAAAACTTAGATGCTGTAGAAAAGAAGTACAGTATAAAAATAAAAGATGAATGAATGTCCTACCTCTGAATTCCAGGCCCCGCAGCTGGAAAGTGACAAGACCATTGCCTATTTCTATAAGGTGTACTAATGCATTGAGATAGTCAGAGGCAAGGATGAAACAATCCCCAGTACTGTAGTTTCCCCACCGTCCCAGTAACAAATCACCACAGAGGCTGTGCTGCAGGGATCTGGTTAAATGTTCATAGAAGATGGAATTCAGATTATTGTCATCTGATCCTACAAGAAGGGATTAAACAAAAAATCAAAATGTCAGATTTTACCTTAGTCCCTTTCATACTGCCAAATGAGATTGTTAAAAATATCAATACTAACTTCCAGCTCAGGTTGTATTTATATTTACTTGAATAGATAAATAATACTCATACCCTTACAATTTCTACATAAAAATGAAACAGGATAATGAGCGAGGTTTCAGAATTGAGAGAGGTTACATAACTTCTCCTAGGGTTCCCATCCATGTAATGTGGGAATTTGATTAGATACAATCTAAAAACTTTTCCACCTTTTTAACAGTCCATTACTTACAATTCATGTACAGTTATTGCTATTCAATGACATGTGCCTTATAATTAAAACTATACAGATAAATGAAAAAGAAAATATTCAGAAGGAGAACAAAAAGATTATTTGGTAAAGGAAGTGGGTAAAATATATAAGACTTGAACAAGACAGTCCAAAGAGAAGTTAGTCAAAAAGATCCTGAATATCAAGATGGTTGATATTTAGCAAAAATAAACTGTACATGCAAATGTAGAAAAAAAGAACCTACAAATGGTACATTAGGGTTCTCCTGTAAGAAAAACATTAGTATAAAACATCATGAATGAGATGGCCTCCTCTAGAAGTAACCCATCAAAAGCAACACCCTGTAAGTGGGTACCCCAAAGGACAGTACTAGAGAATGGCAAAACGTCAAACTTTAGTAATTATTTTAAACTCAAACTAAATATTAAAATAATGAAAGGGGCTGGGGATATGGCTCAAGCGGTAGCGCGCTCGCCTGGCATGCGTGCGGCCCGGGTTCGATCCTCAGCACCACATACAAGTAAAGATGTTGTGTCTGCCGAAAACTAAAAATAAATATGAAAAAAATTCTCCTTCTCTTGGGGATGGGGATGTGGCTCAAGCGGTAGCGCGCTCGCCTGGCATGCGTGCGGCCCGGGTTCGATCCTCAGCACCACATACAAACAAAGATGTTGTGTCCGCCGAGAACTAAAAAATAAATATTAAAAAAAAAAAAAATTTAAAAAAAAAAATAAAATAATGAAAGGGGAACCCTAGGTTCTAATAGCAATAAAATGATTGTATCTAACTCTATGCATGCCCAATACAAAAGTGATTTTGTCCTGTGGGAAGCATCAGGACAATTCCAGCCCCTTATAGTATCCACTAGACTTGAGATGGTTTTTTTCTCTACTAGAATGTGATGGTAACAGTCATTAATATCAAACAGTTAGTACTCCTTAATCAAGTATTAAAATTAAATTAGAGGGCTGGGGATGTGGCTCAAGCAGTAACACGCTTGCCTGGCATGTGTGGGGCGCTGGGTTCGATCCTCAGCACCACATAAAAATAAAATTAAGATGTTGTGTCCACCGAAAACTGAAAAAAAAAATATTAAAAAAAATTCTCTCTTTCTTCTCTCTCTTAAAAAAAAATTAGATCCTTATAGTTTGGTTTTTCAGATGCATATAGTATTTTAAAGGAAACTTATAAGTCAAATAGATACAAATATTTCAGTCTATTTGAGAGTAATGTCTCTTTAACACACTTAGGTTCTGGCTGTTTGTTAGTCCTTCACAACTGTGATAGTGAAATTCATTTTCTCTGGCAGATTACTATTGGAGAGCCCAATAAAATCATGTTTCCCAAATAATAAAACTAAGAACCAGATTTTAAATAATGGTAATGCCACCAAAGTGCCACCCATTCAAGCCATATCCTAAGTGGTTATTTGGTCCCTCATAGATGACAACTCGATACATAAAAAACTAACATTACATTAACATTTACTTATGAATTCAGGGACAGGCAGAAGCCAACATATTAATGAAATGTGCTGTATATCCTTCAACACACTTGACCAATTTTACTTTAAATGCTTTCTACTTTTTTAATCTATGTAAGAATAACTTTTCAATGGTGTTTAAAAATTTCCCATCAGCATTCTTTAAATGCATTTTATTAAGGATAGGTATAAGCCAGGTATAGTAGCATATGCCTGTAATTCCAGCTGCTCTGGTGGCCAGAGGATCACAAATTTAAGACAGCCTGGGTAATAGATTAAGAACCTATCTCATTAAAAAAAAAAAAAAAAGATAAGCATACAAATTGGAGATAGTCTAATTCATATATACTATACTTTGCTAAAGTAAAACAAAGCAAAGGATATTAGTTTTTAAAAATGACTAGTTGGAACTCAAAGAATTCTAACAAAGATAATAAATGTATAGTTACATATTACATACACATGACAAATAAAATCTTTAATGTAAGGCCTTACTCACAAGTAGAGTTATTACCTGGATTTCTATCAAGCTGGGAAGCCAATCTGGTATTTGAATGATCTACTCGTTTTGTGCTAAAGAGGACAAAATAAAACACATTTAATTTCTTTACACTTAAAAAAAATTTAATAAGAGTAAGGGAACTGAACACAGTGGCATGCCTATAAACCAAGCAACTTGGGAAGCTGAGGCAAGAGGATCAACAAATTCAAGGACAGCCTGGGCAACTGAGATCCTGTCTTAAAATACAAAATATAAAGGGTTAGGTTTGTAGCTCAGTGGTAGTTCAATCCCCAGTACTGCAAAACCCAAAACGAAAACCAAACGAAACACAAGGAGGGAACTATAGGATCCAGATCAAATAATATTGCTCTAGGAAAATCTCTGTTCCTAATATATTGATAAACTCCTTGGCAGCACACTTTGTTTGCTTTTTGTAGTTCTGGGGCTCGAGCCCGTCTCATGCGTGGTGGGTAAGTACTCTACCACTCAGCTACATCCCTAGCTGGTAGCACAATTTTACAGTCTTTTAACCTTTACCACACATAAACATAGCAGGTTCTTCTCCCCCTAGCAGATGTAACTGCAGAGTGTGTAAAAAGACATACAGAGGTGGTACAGTGCAGGGAGGGGTAAGAGACCAGAATGAAAAAATGCAGGCTGCATATGGTTCTCAGAAATTCACAGTACATAAAACATTCTTTTCAAGGGGAAGGCATACCTATTAAAGCTCAGTGGTATTGTGTCTAGTCTTTAGAACGGTGGTTCCAAAAATGTAGACTGTGAAACCAGGATTTTTTCAAGGACTTTTCCAGATCAAAACTATTCTTCTAGGGTTGGGGGTGTTGCTCAGTGGTAGCGTGCTTGCCTAGCATGTGTAAGGCCCTGGGTTCAATCCTCAGCACCACATAAAGAAAAATAAATAAAATAAAGGAATTGTGTCCATCTACCAACTACAAAAAAATATATAAAACACAAAACTATTCTTTTAATGATGCTGAGCTGTTATTAGCCCCTTTCCCCTGCTTTGACAACTGCACTGAAGGTGCAGAAGCACAGTGGGTAAAACAGCTGATGTTTGAGCACAGATCAAGGCAGCAACACCAAACAGTACTATCCCTCACTGCCACACATGCACAAAAAAACAAATGGACAGTTTCACTTAAAATATCCCTAATAAGGCCGTAAAAATGTGAATTTTATTAAATCTCAATTCCTTAGTATGGCCTATTTAATGTTCTGTTTGGCAAAATGAGAAAATATAGAGAAAGCACTTCTGCTGCATTCTGAATGGCTGTCCTGAGGGAAAGCATGTGTGCAATCATTAGAATTATAAGCCAAGCTAGCAGCTTTAAAAAAACAAAAAACAACAACAACAACAAAAAAAACCCCACCATTTTTACTTGAACAGCTGTTGAGGAAATTGAAAATTATTCATACGGGTTATTTAATAAACATTTCTCAACAACAAAGAAAATGAATCTGTCATTTCAAGGAAAACAACTGGTAATATCTGTTCACATTGACAAAATTCAAGTTTTACGAAAATTTTACAATGTGGAAAAAACTTGTATCCATCACCATGAGCCTGATGGCTTCCCAATACTTTGTTATTTCTTTTGAGATTGGTAGTAATATTAATGAATATATTTTTTAAACACTACATAAAGAACTGTGTCAACATTTAGAAGATGTCTTTTACTCAGTAAAACAATATTTTTCTAAGTGAATAATATATAATGTTATAAAATAATACATGAGTAATAAAAAGATTCATTCAAAATACAAGATAGATACATAAATATTGATGTTACAAAATTCCAAAAATACAGATACAATTTAAATTCCACACTGTGCTTACTTTTAAGAGTCTACCATTTGTTGAGTTTTAGTGAAGAATCAAGGAAAAAGTATCCACAATTGCTTTAAATGTCTATGGAAGTACTCCTTTTTCAACTACCTGAGTGAGGCCAAATTTTCTTCATATATTTCAAGCAAAATAGCATAATAACAACAGAATGACTACAGAAGCAGATAAAAGAATTCATCTGTTTGTTAACAATCCAGACATTAAAAGATTTGCAGTGCTGAAAAACAATGAATTCTTCCAATTTTTTTTTTTTTTGGTTGGTGGGAAAATATAGTTATTCTTAAACCTATGGAATTTTCAACAATTTTTAAGATTACTAAGGGATTCTGAGACCAAAATACTTAAATAACTGCTATCACAGGATATGACTGTGGGTTGGAAGTTGGTCCAGAATAGGATACAAATAACAGTGAAATTTGCCAAAATGAGAAATACTATGTGTGGTTTTAGGTAAGGAACTGTAATCAAAATTTCAAACCCACAAGCCAATTCACTGTTTCAAAGATGAGACCACAATTTTTCCCCAGCAAAAATGCCAATGTGTGAAAAATGTAGGAAAAAAAGCATTCATGGAGATGGCCAACAGAATCATAAATTCGCATAAGCTCTTTCCAAGGAACTAAGCCTACTTTATGTACAAAGATGGTCATTAAAAACTTTTCCTTCATGAAAAAGCAGAGATAACTTATAAAAATTTGGATCTCACTGGGCACAGTAGCATACACTTGTAACTAGTGACTCAGAAGGCTGAGGCAGGAGGATCACAAGTTCAAAGGTAGCTTCAGCAACTTAAAGAGGCTCTAAGCAACTTAACATGATTCTGTCTCAAAATAAAAAATAAAAAGGCTGGGGATGTAGCTCAGGGGTAAAATGCTTCTGGGTTCAATCACCAGTACCTCCCCCAACCCTACTGCCACCACCAAAAACAATTAGATCTCAAATAGTCAGCTACTGTTAAGAAAACTATGAGGTAATTCACTGTAATATTAGGTAGCATAAAGGTTCAGAGTATTATTAATGAGGAATAAGTTTAAGAAATGTCACTGAAAGAAAAAAAGATGCAAAAATGAGTATACTTAAATTAGAATTATGTTTTTAAAAATCTCATGAGTAGAAAAAAGAGATACAGTGATTTCCCTCAATTCTATCACATAATCTTCATATTTTAAAAATATTTATAAATTTTTAGCAAAACTATTTCAACATGTAGCTCAGGGATAGAGTGCCCCTGGTTCAATCCTCAGTACCCTCCCTCTCAAAAAATTCACAATTATGAACCACAAATAACTTATACTAATAATGCTGTCAATAGTTTTTCCTTATAAAAAAGAAATAGTCTTTTTAAGCATTTTAGTTTACTCACTTATAATCTCTCTCCCAGAATTTCACAGGCCGAACATAAGAAGTGATAAATATTGCACTTCCTAGAAAAGGGTTTAGTGGAGTAGAGAAGAAAGCTGATACAGCAGCCTGAATAAACAGCATGGCTGAATCTATGGGAAAAGTGGTTAAGGAACTTAAGATTCATCTGAGCATGCATACACACAGACATGAAGAACAAAGAAAAAAAAATTCACAAACACATTTAGATTACAGTGATTAGAGAAATAAAGTTCACAATATAAATACGAAAGATGATGTCACTGGACACCCCAAGGGCATACCAACAGAAAAACAAAACAAGGAAAATATGAATTGATCTGATACTTTGAAGGGAGCCAAATAAATATTTGCTAATACATATTTGGTAAAAGTCCATGTATCAATTTAGAAAGAAATGCTCAGGCTTAATTTTCCTTAGAAGTATCAAAGTCTGCCTTTTAACATCACTGGTGTCATTAACCTTGTTATTATTTAGAAAATATTTTTAAGAAATGAAGAGAATACAAAATTTCAGACAGTTCAATTATAATTACAAAAGTGTTTTGTTTATTAAAAATATTTCTAAACATTCTGTGTACATTAAAATATTTTTATTTTTAGATTTTAATAACATTCATATTAATTTATATTTAAAATATGGAATTTTAAGTTAGCATTATTTAACTACAAAACTTTTTCTCATGTTTAGATGATCTGTGGGCCACACATGTTAATATAAGTTAAACAATCTAAATCAGGATAGATCAGAACTAAAAAGAATGAGTGTTTCATAATTTACATATAGTAACCTATATTCTATGCCTATGAAAGGTTTTCCTTGTAAATCAACACTCTCATCAAGGATATGACTATCCATTCTCATAATTTTAATTTGAAGGATACGAGGCACTGCAAAGGGCTGAGCAAACGCATGGAAAGCAGAACCCCATGTAATTTGCCACGGGGCGATGTAGGTATATACGAACTGCAACTTATAGAGGAGTTCCCAAAGCTGTAGGAGGAAAAGAAAACCCATCAGCAAAAAACTTAATCAGATATTTGAATTAGAAAATGAAAGTCCTATGAAATATATTTTCTTCCTACTAGAGAAACTGCACTGAAATTATCTACCATTTGCATAACAGGAAAAGATTCATTATTGCCAAAATGCTGAACTTATTTTTAAATAAAAATATCATTTTTTAAGTAAAGATGGCTAGCTGACTTGTGGATTTGTGTTTCATTAATTTAAAAAGTTCTATGCCCTCTATTGGCCTGTCATATTACTACTTTTACAAGCAAAATGAAGAAAGGTAGCAAGAAGCAAAATAACAATCCTTGGGGGGAAAAAATACATCTAGATATCTGTAATGCTTAAGTAAAACATTTTATTCTAAAATACATTTTCCTTAAATTTTAGAGTTCTGGAAACTGAGTATGTTTCAAAGGCAATGTCAAAAGGATTGTGAAAATACCAATTGTATACAGTTGTCATTGCCTGTTTGCATAGGAATTTTGTTGCATATACCTGACATTTGTTCATAATTTCAATTGTTGTCAATGGAAGCATAATACACATTTTAGTCATTTAACTTTGAATCTGTTATTGTTGTTGACAATCTTCAACCCTGAAACAGGGATACTGTGTTTGTCCAAGTCAGTCTCTGCACATCAGGCAATACAAAACCTAACTCTTGAAATAAATCACAAGAATCTTAAAAAGCAAAAATTCTGACTAATTTGGTGACATGATTAGACACAAACATCTCATCTCTTAAAGTACTTAAGTTGATTTACAAATGACTTGTTTTGACTTCCAATTTAAAAAAAAAATCAGGGCTGGGGGATACAGCACAATGGTAGAGGGCTTCGCTTGCATGTGTGAGGCCCTGGGTTCAATTCCCAACACTGAAAAATCAATCAACTGAAAAAAATCACAATTTCAACCCATCAGAAATGCAGATGAATCCCATATTTTTAGCCATGAGTCAAAATCATGCTAATAATCCTAGTACTAATGTAAAAAGGATCACATGAAGTAGAAGAAACATGTCTATTATCATGATGTCTTTAGAACTACTTAAAAGGAGTAACTTGGGAAAACTAAATGTGAAGCAGACTGTACTCAAATAGGTGTGTCGTGGGTGGATAACAACAATTTTGTCTACATTTAATTAAAAGGTTTATTAAATCGATGATATCTTAGAATAAAAATATATCTAAAGAGATCTCTTAAATATTACTTGCTTATTATCACTGTTCTTTCTAGTGACATACAAAAGGCAAACTCCTTAAGAGCAGAGCTTTCTCTGCTTTTTTCACTAATTAACAGCCTATGTATCTAGAACACTTCTGAGAAAAGGTACGTCCCCCCCCCCCCCCAGAATATTTGAAAATGAAAGGATTTTCAAATGTAGGATCAAATGAAAGGATTAAGAAAATCCAAACTAATGTAGAGTTAAGTGTACCAGCTGTAGTTCATATATTGCTTAGGTTATGTTTTACTTCAGCTTTCACTTATTTCCAACCAGTATAAGACACAACACAATTTTCAATCAAAGTATCACAGTTTGTGAGAAACCACATGCTTCTTTATACAAACAATTCTCTGATTCACTTTTTGGTTTTGTCTTTTGGTTAATAGTCATGCTGACAAGAGGAAATAAATGATTAAAGTGCATATAAATTAGTGATTAAACAAATGTATTACTGAAATAGTTTAAAGAGTATTTATCATAATACTGAAAATGACTACCACTAAAACCTTGTTTGAATTAATTGCTTTCCATTTTCACTGTTCTATCCTAGGTCAGACCTCTGTCACATCTGAATCACTGTCACAACTCTTAAGCTGTTCTCCATACCTTCAGGTTCTCTTTCCCATTTCATCCCAAATGTGGCTGACCAGGCTAACTTGCCTAAAATTGGACTTTGACTGTATTTTGTAGCTGTTCATTTGCTTCAGCTCTCTGTTACCTATCAAATGGGATAATATATGTCAAAGTCCTTTGTATGTGGTCAGTGTTACCATGAAATCTAATTACTATTTAATTTACAAACAATCTGACTATACAACCTATTTGAGAAAGGTAGTATGGTTCAGTAGAAACATCCTTGCTTTAAGAGGCAGAAGATATGGATTTTGTCATCTCATTTATAAAGGGCATAAGAACACTTATCTGAAGGAAAATAATGAATTTTAAAAGCATTCTGTAAATTTCAGAGTATTCTGTCAAGTTAATTTCTGGTTGCTCCCATATGGCCTTACTGTCTTCATTCAGTTAGCAGGTTATTCTTCACTAGAATTTATTCCCTCTATCTATCCAGTCACCCAAATTCAACTATTACCACTTATCTTTCTAAAATTATTCAAAACCACACTCTGCTTTGGAAGATCCTATACAATGTTTCTCTATATAACTTAATTTTAATGTTTCTCTATATAACTTAATTTTATCTTCCTAATTATAGCAAAAAATATATCTTTTATGAAGCACTATGACTAGCATTGCTTAGGGATTCTAATATGCTTTAAGTAAACTGACAAGAGATATTAATTAAAAGACAACAAATCAGTGAAATATATGCATAATCTTCACAAAGTAGTGTATTACTTAGAGGGATAGTTTTTGCAGGCAGAGACATTCCTTTCAGTGATAAATTACCTTGCTGAACAGTATGGACATGAAGAAGAGATCCAATAGCATGGTCTCTGAAAAAGCTTCATAGTCAAATTTGAAAAAGAGCACAGTAAAGATGACTGTGACATACTGATACGTAGGGCTGCTAAAAGAGGATCGCAGCAACTTCAAGCCAGCAATGGTGATCATTAAAGCACCTAATCTGTAACATAAAAAAGGCACAACCCATCAACTCATGGCTGATCACACTGGAACATTCGCTAATTTTAGAAAAATGACCAATTTACTAGGCTTACAATATAGAGATCAAATTTAAACTTGCAAAAATTATTTATATACAACGCAAATCACATCTTGAAAGGATCCAATTAGTATGATATTCTCTTTCAAGAGTATTATTATAATTCTAATCCTCTATGAGTCTAAGCACATTTTTAAAAAATGGGTAGTATTGTAATTCTATCATCTGGTTCTCTAATTTCAAAGTATTTCTATTGCTGTAATGTCAATTACATTTAGCACATGAAAAACATAATACTTACTCCAAAACATGTATCTACAGTAGGGGATAGGCCATGGGATAACCATGAAGGCAACTGACCATCTATATGGTACAACTTACACAGTACACAAAACCAGCCATCTCCCAGACCTGTCATCTAATATTAAAAATTAACCTTAATAAATGTCCTCTCATAAAATATTGACAATGACAATGAGATGTTTGTAGTAGTGAATTTGCTAAGAACAACAGTAGATGTTTCAAAAAGGGAAGTGAAAGACAAAATTTCACCTGAATTTTTCACCTTACAATGCCAATTACCACAGAGACACTCGATGGATATCTGGACCCTGATCAACAACCGAAGACACTGTATTGTAATACTGTTGTTAGAAACAGTCCCCAAGAGTCAGACTTAGACTAGAAGATTATTGTACTTACTCTGTATCCAGTTTCTTTGGACTGGCAATTGTCTCTGCACTACTACTAAGTTCATTGAGAACAATCAGTGGATAGATGATATTCTTCTCAACAAAAAGAAGCCACACATGAAGTTTTTCAAACCACATCATAGTAGCTGCATCTAACAAGGCAATGTAAGTCAAGAAGATCATGTGTCATCCAATGTATAAAGTAGTCTAGCAATGTGACAAGAAAGGAAACTCTTACAAATCAAATTAGCTCTACACTATAAATAAAAATGTAAAAATCTAGTATTTTAACCATTGTCAACTCTTGATTGTGAAATACTTACCAACGTGCTATTTGGATATGACATATTTAAATGAATTTCATTTTAAACTTTAATTCTTTTTTCTTTCTTTCTCTTTTTTTTTCTTTTCTTTTCTTTTTTTTTTTTTTGGTACCAGGAATTGAACTCAGGGGCACTCAACCACTAAGCCACATACCCAGCCCATTTCTGGGACTCATCAAATTGCTCAGCGCCTCGATATTGCTGAGGCTGGCTTTTGAACTAATGATCCTCCTGCCTCAGCCTCCCGAGTTGCTGGGATTACAGGCATGGGCCACTGTGCCTGGCTTAAATTTTAATTCTTAAAACCTGTTTTTAACTAACTTTTTCTCACTTTTTGCTACATCTCAAAGAGAAAAGGTTACTGAATATTATTAGGCTGCCCCAAGTCCCCAAATAAATATCTATTATTTATTTTTAAAATATTAAGATATAGACATATACACATATATATAATTATAATATCTAAATGAGAATTTATTATTTGAATTCATATACTTCATAAGAGTCACATTCATTTCCAATAAACTATCTTGAATAACATCAAAGATTTAATACATGGTTCTTCAGCTACCTGACAGCAATATTTCCAGGCTTCTTTTTTTAATATTTATTTTTTAGTTATAGGTGGACACAATATTTTTATTTTATACTTATGTGGTGCTGAGGATCGAACCCAGCGCCTCACGCATGGTAGGCAAGCGCTCTACTTCTGAGCGAGAGCCCCAGCCTCAATTTCCAGGCTTTTAATAAGTTCTCTAATGATTATAATTTTTCTTTCAATTGCTAAAATCAGTAGGAGAAAAAAATGATTTCACTACTATTTAGTACTTTCAAAAATTCAAAAACATCAGGTTGATGCAAAATTTATAAAAAAGTCAGACTTTTAAGTTAGAAATAAACAATATGGTCAATTATGCATTTAATTAAAAGTGCATTTTTAAAACAAATTAGATATATTTGCTGTCATTTATGTATAAAAGCAATGCTAATAAAAAAAATCTCATTCTGAGTTACTTCCATGATGCAGGGGACGGGTGAGTACTGATTCTCACAATTTCATATTGTTTTCCCTTATTTAAAGAGCACACATTTTGTAAAAGGTCCTCACAGTGCTGCTAATACAATCTACATATTAGTGTTGTATTATCGCCTGCAGATCCAACTGGTGATGAAGGTTAAAGTGGCATCATGCTTCAATCAATTTCACTAAAAGGCCCAGGAAATTTGCTTTGAGAAAATAAAGTCAAGTTTTATTTTTTATTTTTTTCCTTTTACTTGTAGATGGACATAATACCTTTATTTATTTATTTTTATGTGGCGCTGAGGATCAAACCCAGGGCCTCACACATGAAGTGTGTGAGGCTCTACCACTGAGCCACAACCCCAGCCCTAAAGTCAAGTTTTTTACAGAAAGTTTTCAAAGGCTTCAGAATTTTCTAAAAATGTTAATGCATCTTCAAATGACGGAGAGGTTTATTTCTCCTTTTATAGCAATTTCACAATTGAAAGAAAAGTCTGTGAAGAAAATTTTGGTTTATTTCATCACTGGTACAATAATAAATGACTTAGATATGAACATTTATTTCTCTAAAATGAGGAAGTATAGCATATTACTGGTCATGGGGCCAATGAACAAGAAGTGAATATTTACAAAGGAAAGAAAAATGAAGCAACAGCTTGCCAAACAGACAGGCCTCATATCTCTTTTTGAGTCATTTTATAGTTTATCCCAAATCTGAACTAAAAACAGCAATTAAAAAATGTTTGTTTGTTTGGTTTTTTAAACTCTGGTAGGACCTAGTGTCTCTGGCAGAAATAACAACAAAGACCTTTTCAATTCCCCACTACCAAAAAAAAAAAAAAAAAAAAAAACCCAAAACAAACAAACAAAAAGAAAACCATCATCCTGAAAAAGATCTGATTCATTAATAGGTTCAAATTTAAGGACAAGAAGCATAGCCAAGCTGTTTTGCAATGATACATACTTAGTCATCTATCAGCCTAGTAAAAAGAAAACAACCTTAGTATTAATAAAAAAAAAAAAGTGTTAAGGAAATACTTACTTCGAACTTCATACTGATTGTACTCTGCGGTCTTCAGCAGAGGATGAGAGAAACAATGCCATGGTAGCTGTTTCCTAACTTGAGGCAGCACATAGTGGGTTACGAAACCCACAAAGCCAACCAATGCATATAACACAAACTTGAGAGCAGGCTTTAAAAGAAAAAGAGTTGAGAAAATTAGGAGTGACTTTAAGACTCACTTTGGAACCTCTCAACTGGGGGTGCAATTTTCCATTTGATAATAGAGAACAGCAAAGTCAGTTTTAGAACCTAAGAACTAAACATTTATCATAGTTATATTTCTAAGTTATGTAGCATGAAACATAAAGCTGATTAAAATCAAGCCATGAAAGATAATGACTGTTCTTATGTTACAGGTATTTTAAATGTGTAAACTACTTCCTTTGGTGTCTCACACTACTGTACAATAAGAGTGTGACTGGAGTTGTACTGCTTCCTGCTCCCAAAAATGTTAATACAATTTCAGAGCAATGTAATCAAGTTGTTTTAACTAGCAGAGATAAAGGATATAAACCGAGTAAAACTGAGTCTGAGAGCAGAGCAGAAAAAAAAAGAAAAAGTATTCCACTTTATTTGTTCCTTCACACTGTATATTATTTGAACTCTATGTACAAAAGAGGGAATCAAGTATTCTCTCTTAAAATAGTCTATGTAAGTCACATTTAGACATTCTGGAACCACTTGGATGTGAAGGAGCCTCCATTTGCACCTTGATGACCCACTGGACCGTACTTGTTTGGAAGTGGTCACAGACCAATAGTTTTATAATGTTTGAAATGTTAAATAAAATTAAATAATTATGTCTTTGCCTCTATATTAAACAATCATATTAAACTATCAGAACTGAATAAAACATTTGACCCAATGGTCTGTGACAGATGGGACACAGGAAATAAGCCTGAACCCTGAAGGAAGGGAATAAAGGAGGTGAGCATGACTGCTCCAGCTTCCTGCCCTGGGTCTCCAGGTTGTCCCACAGGGAGGGGAACCCAAGCAAAGCCAAGCACACTGTGAGATAAGGATGTGGAACTCTAAAGTTTAGAAAGATCAGGTGGCTAGACTTCAGCAGAAGAGACAGTGTATAAAAGAGAAAGCCACCCAGAGGGAGAACTCTGGAGATCTGCAGAGGGTTCCCTTGGAATATTCAGGAAAATACCACTGCATGCAAGTGAGGGAACTACACAAGGGCAGGGAAAGTAGCTCACAAAGGGAATGGAGATATTACCTAGCACTCAGATAGAGCAGGAGAGTACCTGCTCTCACAAGCCAGACTGAAAGAGCTAAAGATTCACAGAGCACTGAGAAGAGACCTCAAAAGGATATTCTCCTCAGTAGTGGGGAATACCACCTCTACTACACATGAGGCCCTAGTCCTACCTCAGAAACCTTAAAATTAAAAAGTGCTTAACAGTATTCCAGAAAAAAGTTCAAGAATATTTCTGGAAATACAAAATTATCTGACACCTAAATGTAATATTTATAGTATGACATTCAATCAAAAATTGCTGAGTGTGCACAGACTCAGAAAACTATGACCCCTAGAGAGGGTAAGAAAATCAGTTAATAAGAACTAAACTGTGATATAGATGTTAGAATTAGTAGACAAGGACATTAAGAGTTGTAACAGAATATTTTATGTTCAAAAAGTCAAGTAAGGAAGGTGGACATTTCTGATTTTTATTTGACATAGAAAAGCTTTGGTATTTTATTTTTAAAATTTTTTTAGATGTACACAATACCTTTCTTTAAATGTATTTTTATGTGGTGCTAAGAATCGAACCTACTGCCTCACACATGCTAGGCAAGTGCTCTACTACTAAGCTACAACCCCAGTCCAGGGAGATATTTTTTTTTAAATGACCTAAATAAACTTCTAGAGATTAAAAATGATAAATTATAAAAAATTATAATTCTGAGATTTAAGAAATGGGATTAATGACAGATTACACATATACAGAAAAAAAGATTAGTGAATTTAAAGACCTATCAATGACACCATTTAAAATTAAACACAGGGGAAAAAAAAGATGAAAATGAACAGAGCATCTGATAACTGAAATATTCTCAGAAGGCAAAGCTGTACATATTTGGAGTTCATGAAACAGTGTGAGGACAGGGTGGAGGAAGCGGCAAGCTGGGAAAGGCAGGAGGAGAAGAACGGCAAAAACATCTGAAATAATGAAGGCTAAAATTTTCCAAATTGAATGAAAAGTTTAAACCCCAAACACAAAAACATGAGGAAATCTACATGAAGGTACATCATAATCCAATTATTCAAAACTAATGATAAAAGAAAATCCTACAAGAAATAGAGGAAGGAAAAAGGTTATCTACAGAGGAATAAAGATAGGAGTAGTGTGAGTAGTAGTGGCACAAGACTATTATAATCCCAAGGACTCTGGAGGCTGAGATAGGAGAATCACAGGTTTGAGGCCAGCCTCAGCAACTAAGCAAGGCCCTAAGCAACTTAGTAAGACCCTGTCTCAAAATAAAAATAAAAGGGATGGAGATGTGATTTAGTGGTAAAGCACCTCTGGGTTCAATCCCATTACCAAAAAAATTAAATAAAGGTAACAGCAGCTTTCAAATCAGAAGCAATGGAAGCCAGAAGCAATGCAACGACATTTTTAAATACTGAAAGAAAAAAACCTGCCTTCTTAGAATTTTACACATAGTAAAGTATCTTTCAAAACCAATTGTGAGATAAGGACTTTCTCAGAAATACAAAGGCTGAAAGAATTTACAGATTCATACTATAAGAAATGTTCTCATAAATCTTTCAGGTAGAAGGAAATATGGATCTACAGTAACTATGGTAATGACATGGCCCACAGGGAGAAGGAACTGTCCTTAAGGAACTCTTCCATATCTGAGCCTGATTAGATAATAAGGTTCTAGGCTTTCCAGCTATCTAGAAATAAAACTTCGGGTTTTTTTTTTAACTTTATTTTATTTATTTATTTTTATGTGGTGCTGAGGATCGAACCAGGGCCTTGCACGTGTGAGGCAAGCGCTCTATTGCTGAGCCATAACCCCACCCCCGACTTTGGGGTTTTTTAGAAGATAATAAGGGCATCTTGCATATGGGAGGGATGCAAGTCATGGATGCTAGAGAGTGGACTGTGGTAGTCAGCCTCCAAAATGGTCCCCATGATCCTGGCTCCCTGGTGGGTATTTCCTTCCCACATTATACCAGGGTTTGTCTATATGACCAATAGAATATGGCACAAGTACCAATGTGTCATTTCCAATATCAGGTTATAGAAGCACAGCTTCTGTTTTGGACTTTCTTTCTCTAGGATCACTTGTTCCAGGGGAAACCAGTTCCCATTTCATGAGGACACTCAGGCCTGCTATGGGGAGGACCACCTGGAAAGGAACTGAATCCTATAAACAACAAACCTCAGAAGATTGCAATATCATAAAAGATCCTAAGTTGGGGATTACTTAACTAAGCCACTCTCAGATTCATGACCTAGAAAAGGCATGAGAAAATAAATATATGTTAAAACCAAATGAAGAGTCATATATTTCAGTGCTATTGACAAACAATATAATCAAAATCAGAAATGAATTCAAAGGTTATTTTCCCCCAACTGAAAGAATAAAATGATTCCTTTACCTGTAATACTGTGAACACCGTGCTTACATGAATAGCAAAATACAGCACACCAATTACAATGCATACCACTAAGTCAGACTGTAAACGCTCACTCTGTGGAACAAGAAAAAGAAATAATAACACAAAATTTTTCAGAAATCTGTCTTTTATTCCCAACTGGCAACGTTTGAGAAATAATTTTTCACTGATACTCTTTAACACTTCTACATATTTCTTAAATATAATGATTACTATAGTAAATCTTATTTTCTTCCTCAATTTCTTTCCTTATCTATAGTGTCAAGGAAATTAAACAACTAGTTTGCATGCTCTAAACATATTGCAATAGTCTTTTAGAATGAAGGTATTTTCCCCGCTACTGGTCAAGAGTTTTACATAGAAGAAAAGAAATTAGATACTTAAGTTATCATATCATTTTTAGGTTATCTCCCTTTAGTAAGTTATATTTTCATTGGTCTTTTGAAATGTTAAAACCACATGCATATGTCCTTAGAGGTTACACAGGTTGAGTACCCCTTAACTGAAATGCTTGTGACCATTTCAAAATTTGGAATCTTTCACATTTAAGAATATTTACCTAGACTTTATACCAATTGAGAATCCTTAAAACAAAAAGCCAAAGTTCAAAATGCTCCAAAATCTGAAACATTTTAAGCATCAATTTAGGAACATTTTGCATTTTCAAGATTAGTAATGCTCCACATGTAGAAAAACCCAGAAACCTCTTGATATTTCTGATATAAACTAGATTCAGAACCTCCTCTTATGCTTAACATGAAATATCCTTTGCTAACATGGAAACTAAAGTCAGAAAAAAAACTGTTTCAATTATATCTTGAGGTAGTTTTGAATTTCTAAAGTTTCTCTAGCTCATATCCACTAATAGTTAAAAGTATGTCCTATTTGATACTTATGTAAATTTTGTCTTTCACAATGGAAATAATCTAAAAACTGGAGAATACTGTTCTGTTCCATAAAACAGATATGAATCTATAGAATTCATCTTCAAATAATTACTCAAAGAAAATAAACAATATTGTAATTTACTAAATTAGAAACGTAAGAGAATTACTGAATTTACTTAAGTATATTAAGATAGATTTGGCTATTGTTCTCTCCTTTAACATGGAAAATGCACAAACTTTTCAAATTGCCCTTGGTAAATAAAACGCCCTAGAGGACTAGTAAGACACTTACAAGGACATAGTTATTTTTGTGTGTGTGGTACTGGAGATTGAACCCAGAGATGCTTTACCACTGAGCCACATCCCTAGTTCTTTTCTAAAATTTAATTTTAAAATGGGTTAATTTGTCAAGGCTGGCCTTGAACTTGTTGTCCTCCTGCCTAAGCCACTGGAATTAGAGATATATGCCTGTCCATAGTTTTTAATCAATAATAAAAACACAATGAATCTAATTTACATTAACACAGTTCTTCCCCCTTATCTGGATACCTGAAATCACAGGCAATATCTAACCCTATATACTATATTGCTAACCATGATGGCTACTAAGTGACTAACAGGCAGGTAGCAGATATACATAGACATACTAGACAGAGGGAGGTTGTCTCAACTGAGACGGTGCAATATTTCATCATGCAAATCAGAATGGCATGCAATTTAAAAGTTATCTATTATTTATTTCTGGAATTTTCCATGAAATATTTTTGGATTGCATTTGACAATGAGTAAGGACAGAGAAGGAGTATTTTATTCATCTTTCAGAGTCTAGTCTAGTCTAGTGTAAACAGGATGAAAAAAAATTGTATGACCAATAAAATTACTTCATTTTCCCTTACCTGGAAATGAATAAATGAATAAATGCCATATTATTCTACATAGAAACGAAGTTTGAGGAATGAACATTTCTTATGAAGGTTGGGTATCCCCTAGACAAAATGAGTAGGTTCAGAAGTGTTTTGGATTTTTTCTTATTTTGGAATATTTGCATTTACCTAATGAGATATCTTAAGGATGGGATCCAAAATTCATTTATGTTTCATATGAAGGATGGCCTAAAGGTAATTTTAAATACTATTTTTAGTTTACCTACATTTTAACTGTGACTGATCCCTTGTGGTCAGGATTGGTATTTTTCACTGTGGCATAATGCTGGCACTCAAAAGTTTTGAATTTTAGAGCATTTGGGGTTTTTTGAATTAAGGATGTTCAACTTGCATGTTAAAAATTGGAGTAAAGGTAATCAACAATGTACAACTAACCCCACTCAATGGGACTATATATTTTCTTCCAATTACTAAAGACTTTCAAAAGTATTCATTATACAATAAAATCAACTGTCTAACATTTAAGACTTATAGTTGAATTAAACAGCTGAAACTTACAACAGAATTCCTAAGTTTCTCAGGCAGTGGGTCTTTTACTTCAGACAGAGGGTCTTCCGGATTTTTTTCTTCTGTTTTTGGAAAAATCTTGGATTGTACCAAAGAGCTTTACATTTTTAAAAATCAAGAGAAAATAATTAATAGAAAATACATATATAACCTGAAAAAAAGTAATGCAAATGATAGTTTATGACAGAAAACCAAGTGACCCAAGTATATTTAATCAAAAGGAAACAGAAAATCCTAAAAAGTCAAAGATATCATAAACAGCAATACAGTAAAAATCTTTTTACTAAAACAGTTTTAATACTTGGGAGGGAAAAAAACCTAACATTTTCAGCAAAGATGGTTAGAATTGACCCAATGTTAATATATTTTGAATAGGGATTATAGATAGACTAGGCCACCAGCACTTTGGAAAAGCATTGGGAAAAGAGGTCTTGGGAGTTCTTTAAAAGAAATGTTAACTTATTTAAATTTCTCTAACAATAACAATTGATTTCACTTACAAAAGTACAGATGGATCACTGCTTTGTCGGCTGAGATGATAGGATACAGCCACTAATAAGCCACAAAAAATGGAGAAAAGTACTGGAATATGTTGACCATCCCATGAATCCTGTTGAGAAAAAAATGTAACAGAACAATAAACTTCTAATTTATAATAGAATCTTTTTATGTCAGTATTTTGGAAAGAATCAATGAATTTAAATTTCAAAAATGTTTTGGTCATATTATTAGTTGCATTTTATTCCAAATAAATTTAGATTTGTTACTTTCTCATGAGCTAGAATCTAGCTGCTAGATTTCTCTCAGTAATAAAGTTCCAGATTTCTTTTTTTTTAGATTATTTATTGTTTTACTGCTTTCTTATTTCTTACTTAATGCAGAGTCAATATTTTTTAATAAGGGTAGTAAGATGTCCAAAATTCAACATTATGAAACATTCAAATAGTAAAATATGACGTGGAAAGAAGCTCTCATTCCTCCAAGCTATCCAGTAGAACCACTGGGATAGCAGCTTCTAGACTTTACTGTGTCATCTTGGTAAACCATGACTCAAAGGAATATGACATCCACTATTCTCTGACCCAGAGGAACAGGAAGGACTCTCAAATGCCAACCAACCATTCAGGCACAGGGGACAGCATTTTGGTCTCCCTTTGAAATGGCCAGGAGATTCAAATGACTCCAACTATAGCAATCCCTCCTTTCATCCAGGACTTAAAAGAGACCCTACCACCACAAGAGTCAAAAGAAACTCCCAAGAAACATAAGACCAGAAATGATTCTGCTGTCAGGGAAGTAAGCTGTGCCTGCACAGTTCTTCTCTAATTCTTTGTAAGAAAATAACCCATTCTGAGATCACAGGGAAGGGGCCTTACACAGAGACCAGCTGAAATCAGGGCAACTATGAACAGCATTTTGCTAGAAGACATAAGTCCTCATCATCCTGAGGGAGGGAGTTGCTGTTGGGTTGTGAATTCTGTTCAAAACACATGTTCTACCTCTGGAAAACTGTCAGCTGCCATATATCTGATTGCAAGTTCAGACTGATCTCTTTTTAAAAGTCCCATAATCTTGGACATCCCTAAAAATCTCGATGTGCCCTGCTCCTACAAGGAACTAGATATCCAAGGGGTGAAAAGAACTCAAAAGAGTTCAAAAAGACGTTGACTCAAAAGAACACGTGGCTGCAGTACATCATACAATAGGAAAGGATAAATACATGACTCCATAGTATGAAATGCAACCTCCATGAAGAAGCAAACACCTCAGGCTGCCCAACTGCAGGCTACATGCCAGCCACACAGTTGGAGTCTAAACACTGGTGATTTCCCTTAAAATATTATCTACCATGACTTTGATCAACTACACTTAAAAGACCAGCAAATTTATATGGAAATACTCAACTATTTTAAAAAGACAAACTTCTTTTTAAATACCAAGAATAGTAGCCAGGTTTACTTAAAAGTGATCAAGATGTCCAATTTAAATAAATCAATTTCAGATCTTCCCCAGGGTCATCTTAGGTTTTCATAATAAGAATAGACAAGGGCCAACTGTACCTCACTGGTAACAGAGGGTGTGGTCACGCAAACCCTCTCTTGAATGACAGACTCACACTTTGCCTGAGGGATCATCTTTGACCCACTCCCGCTTCTGGAACCCAGTATTACAAATGCTCTTTACAACACAGTGCTACTCAAAGAGGAAATAACCAGGAAAAGAAAAGGTCCATTTATTCCCGTCCATGCCATCTAAAGTTACTGAGTACAATAATCAAGCTGGAGAAGAGACGAATCACAACCTGAAACAATAAAAAAACTGTGACATGAGCCCTCTGAATTGCAAGTTTGAACTCAAAAGAATCTGCATGTTGGCAAGCCAGTTTCTTCCCTGAGACGTTTGCTTCACGCTTTGTTTTCTCCCTCTAGCATCTTCTGACTCTCCTAGTTAAGGCCTGGACAGTGTTGAAATAGTGTACAATTTCTCCAGAACCATTAGTCCCCCGAGACCTCAGGCTGGGTGCAGTCTGGCTCTGGCTCCCTAGTGCCTGGCTCTGTAGGCTGCCTCTGCGGCTCCTCCACCATCTGAAGCAGGGAGGATCTCTCCAGCTCCAGCGCCAACATGGCCTGCTTCATCTTGCTCTCACTAATCAGGAGCTTCTCTACTCTGCTTCAAAGCTCTGGATCCTACCATTTGCCACCTGCAATTGCTCAATCAAAGTTCTGTTTGCGTAAGCTGCTGTTGGTTTTCTCTAATTTATCCATTCTTTCGTTGTCACTAAGAGAAGAGGAATCAATAAGTTCTTCTTGAAGTACATGGTACTCAACTTCATAAGCCTATAACTGTTTATCGATGTCTATCTTAAACACCTGATTGATGGTCTTCTCCATTTGTACCAACCCCAAGTTAGGTAGTGTGTTTTTGATAAAGTCCACTATGGTTTCTAAGTTTTTGTGCTGCAGAATCAAGGGCTTATGGCTTCCCAAAAGACTTAGAGCCACTTTAAATATGACCTCTGACCCTTGAAGAAAGATCATATCAAAGAATCTGGCTACAAAGCCCAGTGGGAACTGAGAAGCGAACACGGTGAGGAACCAGGGTGCAGCACAGAGACTGGGGCCGATCTTGTGCTCCTCTAGGTGATCATAGAGGTCTCTGTGGTAGTCATGGAGAAGCCACGAGAGCTGGTACATCTGGATCTGTAAAATTATCATGTCTGGCAGATATTGCTTCTGCAGTCCCATGTCAAACATCAAAAACTTGAGCATTTTAAACGCCTCTTCCTCACTCACATGAAGCAGCAAAATGCCTGCCACAAAGCTGAGGTCTAGCTGAGGCTAGACCTACTTCCTGGTCTAGAAGTGAGTAGGCCTTCAAAATGTTGTAAAGTGACAGTTGCCCTGCTCCGAGCTGGGCAGAGAAGTACAGATGTGTTGGAAAGGTTTGCCCGAGGTCAATAAGAATGGCATGCTGCTGGGAGGTTAGCTGCTTTAGGAGCTCTTTGTAGGGTACATCCTTTGGCTGCTGTTTACTGGGAAACGGATGTTTAAGGTGGAACTGCTTTGCTAGAAATTTCCAGATTTCACCCTGATGATGACAAGGCACACCTTGTCCAACCGCTAAGTGCATATTTTCCATATCAAACTTAATTTTTGATCTTCCTGGAGTGCTAAGCATCTTTTCCCATACTGTAGTTACTTCTTTAAGACAAGGAATGATTTCTTCATAATCGAGCTTCAGGCGTTTGTTCAGCAAGTCATTCTCAGAGGCTTGTAGCTTCTGATTTTCCTTCTCCATTCTGAGGAGCAGTACCTGTCGCAGAATAGCCTTTTCCACAGCTCATGAAGCTCCCGTGATGTCCTCTTCTTTTCCTCTGGTACAGGGCCAAAGGGTCCATCTTTACATACTGGTTCTAAAGGAGACCTCTCCCAGCTGTGAATAATCCTCATATCTGTCAGGGGAGATGCATGCCTTCTGTGGGGTGGCCACACACAGGAATATCTGCTGCCTCCATGAGTGCCACTGGGTCTTCACTGGGGTCCCACCAGAGTCACCGATGTGGTTTGCTTTGGATTCAAGGTCCTTTCATTCGTGAGGCATCTCTGTGCTCACTGAGTGATAACCTCATAAGTTTTCTCTGAAAGACGCCTGGAGACCCCTGAGTGGACTCTGGAAGTTCTGGGCATCCCACCGGTAAATGACTCAGGGTGTTTGCTCGCCTCCTGAAGGTCTGCTGGGGGGAAAGCGAAGGAGGCTTTTCTGCGAAATGGCCCTCTAAATCACTGGACAGGTCATTGAAAGAGCCAAGGAGCTTGAAAGAACTCTCAGAGATGGGCAAGGCCTCCTTATCACCCACTGACGGCTCTTTGCTGATGTTACTTAATGTGCTAGACACAGAGGTGTCCAGATCCACGCTGGTAGAGTTTTCCTGCAGGCCTTTGGTCTTATTACCCTGAGACAAAATACTTTCTAAAGACTCTGTTAAAGATCTCTCTGCTTTATTTTTCAGCATATCTAGCCTAAATGGAGTGGCACTGGCTGGCAATTCACTTCCAATATTTTCTGCGGCAATCTATGATGCCTGCTTCATCTCCCTGACGTGGATGTGTTCTTTCTGCTTCTTTTCATACAAATATCTCAGAAAAGAAATGATCGATTCATTTTCTTGCTGCTCACTCCTTGATCTCAATTTCTGAAGCTCCTCAAAAATAGTTGCCTGTTCCTGATTAGTTAATGTTGTCAGGTGTTTTTGGAGTTCTAGTTTGGATTTGGAAGAATTCATTCCCTCTATCCTCTCACAGAGCTTGTACAGGGCCTGCAAGGGGCAGCCCTCACACAGCTGGGCTGGAGCTTTTGCAGTCTGCTGCACTGCAGCCACTGTGAAAGCCTGTTGCAGGGTCATCATGATTTCATCAACCAGAGCTTCATTTGTACACTGGAACACATAACAGACAAAATGGAAGCCACCACCTCCCGAAGACTCCCAGCAGACAAACCCAAAGTGGTCCACATGTCTAATGCCCTGAGAGCAAAAGGATATCTCCTTAAATTTTTTTCCAGTGCTATTTTTTTTGTTGTCAGGACTGAGGAAGTAAACTTCAGACTGGCCAATCATGAAGAGCATAGTTCGATTTCCCTCAATATTTATTGGCTGCACAATATTGTATCCACTAATTAGGTGGTTCTCAATGTCATTTTCTTCAAAAGAACTGAAGAAACTGCTGCTTCGGAGGCCAGCATCCTGAAACTCCTTCCTGAGGCCAGTGAACACAGGCCGGGCTGGGAGAAGGACTTGCGCATGGGCCAGCGGGGTTCTGGTGCCCGGTTCCAGTCAGCCAGCTGGCTGCAGCTAACGTGGTTGAACTTCTCAATGCATTCGTCAATCAGCTCTGGCGGGGCCTTCTTGTGAGCTATCACAAAAGAGCACCATGAACTTCTTGGCAAACGTGTTGTCAAACTCCCAGAGGCAGTGCAGCTCCTCCTGGTGGGCGATCTGCAGTTCCTCCTGGAGGGCGATCTTCCTAGCCTGGCGGATGGGTATGGAACTGAAGATCTCGGACACCTTGGCCACCCAGCTGAACAACAGTGACATTGCGGCTGGGTGGCTCTGGTTCACTCCCGCTGCTGCTGGCCTGGTGCTGGCCTGGCGCTGTGGGCCTATGGCAGCCAGCAGCCGGGGGCAGGCTCAGGGCGTACCTCAAAGGCTGCAGGGAGGGCAATGGCTCCTCCCCACTCTTACTGCCAGATATGAGCCAGATTTCTTTTGTTATTAAAGCTCTATTCATTTACTGGGAAAATTTTGCTTTTGATGCTTGCTACTACCATTGGTTAATATTTTAAATAGCATGTATAGTAAATTATGTGTTCTTTTTTTGAAGAATAAAATAACTTGGTAAATTCATTATATATAACAATGGAGTAGGAGGACCAGGTATCACGATAGAACATATTAGGCCAAAGAATATCTTGGTGTCTTACATGCTACTTACACAGTACAACCATTTTACTCATGTAATATATACCATACTATTATAATTTCCAGAGCACTTAGCAACATTCAATAACTATTACCTGATAGAATGAATGCATATTCTCACAAGGAAATAATAGAAAGGATAAGCTTTCAAGGACAACCAAACACAGGCAGGTGTCATGTTAGCCCTGTGGCACTGAAGTTATTTCTGGATAATACTAGCATGATATATGGCATGGAGTGGACAACCCTGGTAACAGGAATAGTTCACAGGTATGTTCTATGTGATGGATAACATTCTAATCCTTTGTCTTTCTCAGGGAATTTCAGAATGGAAAATGATAGGAGTACGGTAGTTTTTTACTCAACTTGCCTCCCCATGCCCAAATACTCTTGGAAATTATTCTAATCACAACATACACATTTTGGTAATGGCTAAATCAAAACCTTATCATCATCATATTAAATAGTGTATGTACAGCCCCATTCCTAAGTATTTGTAAATATTTCCTAAATAATTTTAACAGTAACCTTTGGAAACACACACTATTACTCCCAATTTATGGATAAGGAAGCTAAGGCATTCAGTGTTTCAACTGTCCAGTGAAGTGGTGGAACCATAAACTGAACTTCTGACACATTTGAATGTGCTGAGAAGTTAAAAAACATGCAAATTTGCATGAGTTCAAGAATGAAAGATTAATACATCAGAAAGCAAAGGAGAAAACAAGATGTATGAGGAGAAAACAAGATGTATGCAGGAAAGAGAATCTGTAGAATAATAAAGTAAACAGATGTATGAGAAAGAGTAATCTTTGTAAAATGCAACTCTAATCATTTCCTGTCCTATCTCAAATACACTGATAATCTCCCATCTTTAGACCAACACATTCAGAATACAGGGTATTTCATAATTTAGTCCTTGATTACCTTTTTAGCCTTAATGAAGACCATCTTTCCTCATGTACCCAAATTCTAGCAACTCCAAAATTAGTTGCTGTTTTCCTTTACAACACTTTTTTCCCAAATTCATGGCTCTGTATTCTCTGTTTCAACTAGCTAATTCTTACTTGTCCTTCAAAATTTGGTTAAAATCATCCTCCTAGAAAATAGTCTTTATTCCCTTTTAATGTCAATTTATATAACCACAGCATTCTGTTTTATGAATAAATATGTTCCTTGACTTAGTAATCCCAACTAACATATAAATTCCTTGGAAGTGAGAAATGGACCTGGGGATGTGGCTCAGTGGTAGAACACTTGCTTGCCTAGAATGTATGTGCTGTGCATTTGATCCTCAGCACTACCAAAATAAGACCAAAAACAAACAAACTAACAAGCAAAAAAAACCCCACAAAACCAGCAGGAAATGGCTTTTTGCATTGTTCTTGACACACAGTAAGTGACCCACAAACACTACAGAATAAATGAAGCAAAGAAAAATGCTGTGAGTCATTCTTCATAATTATTTCAACCCTAACCATTCTCTAATTGCCTTGCATTAACCACAAAAAACAAACAAATCTCAGAAATTATATGTAAGGGACTGTAAATCTCTATTAAAAAAAAGGGGGGGCTAGGGTTGTGGCTCAGCGGTATAGCACTCGCCTAGCACATGCAAGGCCCTGGGTTCGATTCTCAGCACCACATAAAAATAAGTAAACAAATAAAGGTATTGTATCCAACTACAACTAAAAAATAAATATATAAAAAAAAAAAACCTTAAGATTTGCATGCTTACAATTTGGTGACACAGGTTCATAAGTTTGCTCTCTTAAATGTAAGTTAGAGAGGAAACAGGAAAAGAAAGATGGGTTTGATCTTCAAAGGGAGATAAATAGAGGAAAGGGGAAGGGAGGAGAAAACGGGGAGGGAAAATACCAGGGAATGATATTGAATAAATTATTTTGTTATATTGTGTGCATGCACAAACATGCAACAATAAACCCCATTATGTAAAACTATAATGTACCAATAAAAATACTAAAAATAAACAAAATTGTGTATTAGTTAAAACAAGACAATTTGGTGACTTTAGAGCATGTGGTAATAGGCATCACACTCAAGCTTTCATGTATACTCAGCAAGTGCTCTACCACTGAGCTACATCTCCAGCCCTTGGTGACAGTATTTTTAAAGAGAGCTCATAGGCTCATTCAGATGCTTACCCTAAAATGGCATTAAATTCTAGCAAATTAATTTTTACTAGCATGTACCTTAAATTGTAGTCCTTGAACTTATTCTTACAACTTTAAAGAAACCTTAATATAAAAAATAGTAGTTATATAACTTCATAACTAAATATATAGCATATTCTGTGATTACCATGCTCACCCCATCCCAGATGAGCCTGGTTTTTGATAATCCATTTCTAATACTAACCCATGGTTAATACAGAAAAAAAATTCTTTTAATAATCTATTAAATTTCTTTCAAATTCAAAGAAAATGAAAATAAGAATAATGTGAAATAAGCCAATCCCCCAAAACCAAAGGTTGAATGTTCTCTCTGATATGGGGATGTTAACGCAGAACAAGTTGGGAGGGGAAGAATAGAAGTTCAGTGGATTAGACAAAGGGGAATGAAGGGAAAGGGGTAGGGATAGTGCTATGAAAGGCAATAGAATGAATTGGACATAACTTTCCTATATTCACATACGAATATAACACCAGTGAAACTCCACATCATGTACAACCACAAGAATGAGATCCTAACTAGAATAAGTTATACTCCATGTGCATATAAGATGTCAAAATACACTGTGCTGTCATGTATATCTAAAAAGAACAAACAAAAAAATTTTTAAAAAGAATAACGTTTAGCACATGAACACAATGGAAATTAATGATAAACTGGCACCAGGGGGAAAAACATTTTTAGTCAATTTAAAACAATCTTCATAAAGAAATATAACCCTGGGCTGGGGTTGTAGCTCAGAGGTAGAGTGCTCGCCTAGCATGCATGAGGCACTGGGTTCGATCCTCAAAACCACATAAAAATAATATAGATATTGTGTCTACCTATAACTAAAAAATAAACTTTTTTTAAAAAAAAGAACTATAATTTATTGCTCACCTTTAAAGCTCCGTAACATAATCCATACAATAAGGCTACTGCCACAATGCTACAGATAAAACTGTAAAGTGCTGCAAGCAGGCTTGTAGTAGCTAGAGAATAAAGAAAAAAGAAATCAATACTTTATAAACATCTATGGAAAAAACTTTAAAAGTCACCAAAAAGCATTTAAACTATTAAAATGTCCTATAATACTAGTATATTATTATCTACTCATTTGACTTTTAAAAATTGTTACTTCATTCTGTTCTTTCAAAAGATTTTGACCTGACAAAGCTTTACTATTCTCAAATCTCTAATGCAAGGTAAAGTATATTTATCTCAGGAGTAATGAACAATTAAGCAGAGCAGAAAAAGTTAAATCTATATTATACTTCAAGAATGTGGCTTAGATCCAGAAAGTCTGGAACATAAGTTATGCAGAAGCCTGAAAACAAACTGGAGATGTATGAATTAATCACTGAATGATATCAGTCTATGTAAAAAGAACTCGGTACCCACAGAAGTAAATCTATATTCCTGTGTATTGATTAATTCTCACACAAAAAAGTGTAGATCTGACTACTAACAATAACAACAAATAGATCCAATGGAATTACTAGTTATAAGGAAGAATGAATGATTAAGATAGCTAAGATTTATTTTAAAAATACATAGATTTTTTTTTACTGTACTCTTATATTGTGATCATAAAAGAAAATTTACAGAAAAAACTTTCTTTATGAGATATTAAAGTCTAATACCTTGTTGCAAGTTTGTAAATCATGACAAAACTCCTTTTATAAACCACCTATATACTAAGTCCATATCATAGTATTTAAATAAATTTAACACCAATAACAGTTCTAAAGGCTGTAACTGTCCCCTATTTGTTAAGCTATGCTTAAATACTGTAATCTACAATTTTTATAAAGAGTACTCACCATTACCACCAAAAATATGAATATCCAATTGTTCACAAAGGTACATTACAAATGTATTCACCTGAGGCAGAAGGCCAATGAAAAACACTATTGGGAAACAGAGTGTAAACACTATGGAAAGAAAGAATAGTATATTAAAAATATACTGTATTCATCCTTTTATTCACTTAAAGACCACAAGCAATGCAAAGAAATCCAACATTAACATAAACTACTAGCAATTTTTTTAAAAGATATCATTTAGGGCTGGGGTTGTGGCTCAGTGTAGAGCACTCGCCTAGTGCATGAGAGGCCCTGGGTTCAATCCTCAGCACCACATATACATAAATAAAATGTCCACCTACAACTAAAAAATATTTTTAAAAAAAGATATTTAAATTTATTTATCTCTCCATAACTGGGTATTAAATAAAATCTTTCACCTATAAGCAATATCTTTTAAAATTACTTCAACTGGTATTGAGGGAATGGGGGAAGAAAGAACAGTAGAATGAATCTGACCTAACTTTCCTATATACATTTATGAATATACCACAGTGAATCTCACCATCATGTAAGTTCACAAGAAAACAATTAAAAAAAATAAGTAAATAGCATTGAAAGATCAGTGGAGTAAAAGGAAGGGAACAGGGGAGGAAGGTGGGAAGAGAAAAGGGGAAGCACTGGGGACTGAATTAGAGCAAGTTATATTCCATGCTTTTATAATTATGTCAAAATGAATCTTAATGTCATGTATAATTTAAAAGAACCAATAAATTATTTCAACCATTTTCACATAATAAGAACCTAAAATACAGATTTTTTAAAACCCACAACTTTCCCTTGTGTTGTGTTCAAGAAGTTTCCTTACTCATAATAGTTACACAGTTTTTTTCCTCAGAGATGATTATAATAAACAGCAAAATAAGTTTATTAAAGCTATTTGACCTATATAATTGATTTATTTATCAGTGAACTGTTTGAAAACAAATAAAGTAATGTTAAGATGAGACATACTTTAAAGCTGACTTACCTATAACTAAATCCCTGGCTGATACAAATACCAGTGGATTGGTGAATGTTATTCCATATAATTTGAACTTGGTTGTAGTAAGGTTTCTGCTACCATAATCCAAGAACCAAATTAGACCACAACATAAACAGAAGTAAACTGGTCTACTGTAAGCAATGATACGATTATGACCCTGCAAATGACATATTTTTAAAAAGTCAGTTTAGTTAATTTTAAGAGTCAACACTAGTTACTGAGATCATTGATTGCTTATATTCTAAGGACTCAAAATATTTCTACATGAAAGCCAGGTTTCTGATGATCAAAGAAAGGAATAACAGATTCAGAAAGGAGGAAGAATAGAATGAACACTGTGATACTGGATTGAAAGTAGAAATATCAAAATGAACTAATTATTTTAATATGCATATAAATATGTGTATACGCACACACACATATTTCATATCTTTATCCACTGAGAGGATCTAGAAGCAATGACAATATAAGAGAGATAAGTAGCATCTAGACCTTAGTTTACCAACACCATTTTTCATGAAAAAGAATCAAAGCTTCATAAAGAAAAGACTGGTTATGAGTTAGGTAGGAAAAGTATATGATCAATCTAGAAAAAATTGTTGTTAGAAAAAGGAGGGAAACATTTAAAGAATGACAGGGATATGTCAAAAGGACACAAAAGGCACCTTGATGGGCTCCAAGTGGCTGAATCAGGAACAGTTTGAGCATCAAAATAAGTATTAAAGTGACATTATAATCCACTAAACAAAAATAATCTATGAATCCACACTAATACATACATAATGACAGAATGAAGAGCTATTTGTTTCAATAAAGAGTAAACTAATGAATGCAGAAGGAATGATAGAATTAGAAAATCACTATTTGCCAGTCATCAAATGATAACTGAGTCAGGCAAGAAACATCAGTAATACTAAGTGAAACAAATGAGTAGAACAGATACATAGTCTCAGAGTGTCTCCCAATAAGATACTTATGAATCACAAGAGAAAAACAGTGATATTACAGTAGAGGAGTAGTTCTGAAGGAAGTGGGAGATTTTGCTTTCCAGAGGATATTTGCCAATCTGGATATATTTTTATTATCACAACTAGGTGGTGGGGAGGGGGGGTGGTGGGGAGGGGGGGTGGCAGTTACTAGCATCTAGTGAGCAAGGATTTAAAACAATCACATTCATGAAAGAAAGCATCACCATAATCTGTTGTTGGAACTTATTCCTGAATTACATTAAAGAGATGTCTTTTGGTCTTACCACTAAATAAATGCTCAAGTTAGATCTAAAACAGGATCACATGTCATAAAAACAGTGCCAAGCAGATTACATTTGTGTGTAAAGTCACAGAAGTAATAAGGTTTTCTTCTCATTATGTAGTCCAAAAGTATTAACACCAAACTAATGTATTGCACTTCTTTATTGCAATTCCTAGTGATTATCAGAGCAAAATAACATAGTTTTTCCCACTTCAAAAATCTATTTTTCAGTATTAATTCACAATTTATTATTCAAAATTTATTAAATGCAAATAATCATGAGTTTATATGAATCATGTCTAACTGATAACCTCTTACTAAGAGGCTTTTATCAAAAATGAATTGCTATGCTTGTTTTAACCAAGATTTAGAGTCCACCAGTACAATGTCATTTTATTTCATGCTAATAAATTACCTATAATCTGTCAAATCTTAAGATGAGAAAATAGTAATATAAATCTCAATTCAATTCAACACATGCCAAAAGGAAAAAAAGGGGAAGGGGGTTTTGATAACTATTAAAGAACAATGAATTACAGCCATTTTAAGAGTGACTTACATGCCTGGGCGAAGAAGAATCTGGTTGAACACTCTGGAAATGAAACAGAAAGACAGATTACACTACTACTACAGTCCTGGTGATTATACAAGCAACTTTCAAAATGCCTGAAGTGATTTCAAGTAAACATTCTACAATAAAGAGATGACCTCCATTAATTCTGTTCCAAAGATGAAACATCAGCTCCAGATACTGGTGTTACAGGGATATTAAAAACATCTCACATTTTTCCCAACTTTCACTTATTCTGGTAAATTAACAAGTTGCATCTATCTACCTTAATAGGTTTTTTAAAAAAATATTTTTTTAGTTATACATGGATACAATATCTTTGTTTATTTTTATATGGTGCTAAGGATCAAACCCAGTGCGTCACACGTGTGAGGCAAGCACTCTGCCACTAAGCCACAACCCCAGACCTAGCGTAATTTTTGAAATGACATTTGATAGCCTATCTTATTGTTTAGCTCATTATTACACATAAGCATAGTTATGGTAGAATTCTTTCTCATGGGACAGTACCTCCCATTTCAGAAAGTACACAGTAACATGGGGTAGCTTACAGAAATTCAAGTTCTATCCACAAACTCTAAGTTTACTAGATAATTCATTAGTACCTGTATTACATATTTGCATTTACAATTAAAATAACAAGACTGGGGATGCAGCTCAGTGGGAGAGTGCTTGCCTAGCATGCTCAAGGCTCTGGGTTTGATATCTAGCACCAGAAAGAAAATAAATAAATAAATAAAATGATTTAATAAAATGAAAAAAAAACTGAAACTTTTCACATTAAAATAATCAAAGAAGTTCAGCTGTATCTTTTTAGAAGATTTTCTGTTAAAAATGTTCTAGGGCTGGGGTTGTACCTCAGTGGTAGAGTGCTTGCCTAGCATGCATGAGGCACTGGGTCTGATCCTCAGCATCAGAGAAATAAATAAACAAACAAATAATTATTTTTAAAAATAGTATGTTTAAAAAATTTAGTAACAAAACATGTAACTTTTCTTCCACATTTCAGTTCATTTCCAAAGGCATACCAAAAAATTCCACCAGGATGGTCTTTCTCACCATCCTATAATTCCAGGATATCTATCTCTCTCTCTCTCTCTCTCTCTCTCTCTCTCTCTCTCTCTCTCTCTCTCTGTCTCTCATCAGGTAATCTTTCAGTACTTTCAACTTTAACATCTATCCTTTCAAAACTTTTGTTTCCTCCTTTCTAATTTCTCTTATGTCATTCTTCTAGTCAGCTAGTTAAAAAAAAAAAAACTCTGTCACCTTTTACCTTTTGCCTATTTAACCAGATTAACCTGAAAGCAAAGGACAAGAGTTTTTAAATTTGAATGAATTTAATGGGTTAAGGCAATAAAGAGATAGATTAAGGTGGCTGAAATAAAAGGAAAGAACAAAGACCAATGATTTTAATATAGAATAACCAAATTTAATCAAGTGGATTCAGTTACTTGTTTTCCAGGGATTAAGGAGGAAGGAGCAGAGAGGTTCTAAGATTCTAAGTTGGTATACCACTGTCAAAAGCTAAGAAACTCGGAAAGGAAAATATTAATCAAAAGATGATAATGTGCTATTTTTGACATGTGTCCAACTGTCTATTAGATAAGCTTGTGAAATAGGTGCAGACATCAATCTGGATATAACTCACATAAGGAGGCAACAAATAAAATTATAAAAGAGAATTGACTTCACAAGTAAAAACTATTAACTGCAAAGAGGATCAAATAAAACCCAAGAGAATTCCCATAAATTAAAGTGGTTGAAGGAACAAAGAGGCACCAACAAAGGCAAGGGGAGTCACTGGAGCACATAAGAACCATTGGAAATGAGCAACAGGGAAAAGGACATGAAAATGGAAGGCAGTATCAACGAGTGTTAAATGATACAGCACCCACAGAGAGTGGGCTGAGAAAAGGACATAAATTTAACAATTGGAATAATTATTAGCAACCACATAGACTGCAGTTTTAGTACTGCAATGATAAAAGAAGTATGGGTGGATCTTAAAGAAATGAAGCAGATTATCTAGGTGCTTACTCCAGATGTCTAGTTATAAATGGAGAGAGAAAAAAGAAAGGACAGCTGATACTACAAACAGAACTCAACAGTTATCAGTTGAGGGGGAGGGCTCTGTATATGAACACATATAAGATAAATGACCAATGCAAAGAAAAGGGCATTTACTAAGGAATTGAGGAAAAGAAAATGGAAGGAGAAATTTTTGATTGTATATGAGCTGGCGTATGTGATTCTCCCGTTTTTTTAAAAGCTTAAAATTAACAAGCTTATAAAATCTTGGTATTTTTGTACCACTATTAAAATAATAACAACGTGACAACAATCTTCTCCTTTTGATGTCCCAAAAGAACAAAAACATATGTACTAGGCTTTCACATTATTATATCTACCAATGACAGATTTAAAAAAATTTCACCCACAGAATAAAACACTGAAAAGATGGGAGCCGGGCACGGTGGTGCACACCTGTGACCCCAGCAGCTCGGGAGGCTGAGACAGGAGGATCCCAAGTTCAATGCCAGCCGGAGAAACAGCAAGGTGCTAAGAAATTCAGTGAGTCCCTGTTTCTAAATAAAATACAAAAAAGGGCTGAGGATGTGACTCAGTGGTTGAGAACCCTGAGTTCAATCCCTGGTACCAAAAAAAAAAAAAAAAAAAAGAGAGAGAGAGAGAGAGAGAGAGAAAGTTATGTTGAAAAGTTAAAAAGTAAATCTCAAGAAGGCAAATTCTTACTTTAAGAATTTTTTGGGGGGTGAGGGGGGCTGGGATTGTGGCTCAGTGGTAGAGTGCTCGCCTAGCATATACAAAGCCCTGAGTTCAATCCTTAGCACTACTTATAAATAAATAAACAAAATAAAGGTATTGTGTTCAACTACAACCAAAAAATAAATATTTTTTAAAAATAATTTTTTTTAATTACAAAGAAATAGTTTTGGGAAACTCAATTTATGTGTAATTATTTTTACATCCATATTCCCCTTTTGTTTCCTACATAATTTAATGCAAACATCCAAGGAAAATAAATCTAAAAATTATCTTACTATAATTTGGTGAATGGTATGAAGTCTGTCTGTTTTTTGTTAATGCAAATATTATTTCACAGCATGAAAAGAAAATATACTGGTACCTTGAGTAGCGAGTACTGACAGCTGGCTATGACCAGGCAGAACTGGAAGACCCAGATGTCTCTGAAGAAGCCTTGTATGAGAAGAATAGATCCCAAAAAAGCCACAAGAATAGCCAGAATGACAGCTAACACATTTTCCAGGATCTCACGATTTCTGTAGACAGAAAAATTTAAAAGTAAGTATATCATCAACCATACTAAAAAAAAAAGGGAAGACATCAAAGTGAAGCTTGCTGGGATGTCTTTTGGGTACTGGGTTTGAATAAAGTTTTGCATCATACTGAAAAAGAAACTAGTTTCATGTGGACACAGCACAAAATTTAATATCCAAAACATGCTATAGTGAATTATAGAGTTCCAATTATAACACATACTGAAATTTCAAGTTCTATTTAAAAGAACTTTACTTTAAAAAAATATCTGGTGCTGGGGATGTAGTTCAAAGGTAGAGCATTTGAATATTGGGTTCAATGACCAGCACCAGCAAAAAAAAAAAAAAAAAAAAAATTAAAATCTGCTTTTCCATCAAATTTGTTGCAAGATACCTAACCAATTTGAAAGACAAATAAAGCAGATTTAACTAAGAAATAAGTTAAGTTTAAAAGGCAAAATCTCAAAATAATTTCTAGAAAATTAAATTTTAAATATCTGTGATTTTATATGACAAAAGTTTGTAACCAAATTTTGATATCAAGTGGTTTCATTTTCCCCATCTCTCAGTCATCTGAAATAATCCAAAAACTCACTTACTAGAATTACTTAAATACAGGCTCTTACGTATCTTGAGAATGAAGGTAGTGACAAAGACCATCAATTCTGCCTCTATCAAAGTTGCTCAGACAATTCTATACTTTAGCAAACTGACACTGTAAAAGAAACAATATGATGCCCAAGATATAACAAATAGCAATGAAGGTGATTTTGATGCTACACCAAAAAAAAAAAAAAAAAAAAACTAAAAATCTATCTCATTATTTCTTGGGGATATTTTATTTGCAAAATGTTAAATCAATTCTTTAAAGAACATTAAATGACATGGAAATATGCTCAGCACATTTGCTATATGAAGAAAGTAGGACACAAAACCAGATGTATAGGAAGATACAAGTTCTGTAATTAAAAAACACAAATATAGGTTAAAAATGGTAAAATACCAAAAATGATCTTACTAATAATGGTTCACTCTCTGAGGAGTGATTGTGGTTTGCCCATTTCTATCTACAAGATTGTCTTTGGGGTGAAGAATTACTTTCATAATCATGAGCAATTTTAATTAATTTTTTATTAACTCAATGCTATGTTTAAAATAAGTTGGGATAAAAAAATTCACAAACACCTCTCTACTACTTCACTTAATAGTTCTACCAAGCTAAAAATGTTCAACAATATTTTCAAATCAATCATTTTTTGACATTTTCACTTGATCTGAGATGGCAAGTAAGCAACTCCAGATTTGCCCAATCCAACGACCTTTTCAATCCTTGTCTCACCCTGCATACTCTCTTCCTTGTAAATTGGACATGTGCTTTTCTTTGGATTTAAAATATTTTTCCACATTGATGAATTCAATTTATCATTTAGTTTTTTTTTGTTGTTGTTGTTTTACTGATCTTGTTTTTGTTGTCACTGGTAAGAAATCTAAACCAAATTTTCCCCTGCTTTGTTTTGTTCTAGAATTCTTATTGTTTTAGGCTTAACACGTAGGTCTATGATCAATTTTAAATTAATTTTTATAATATGGTACAAGGTTAGCATACAATTTTTTTTTACTTTTATTTGGTTTTTTTTTTGGGGGGGGGGGGCATATGACAATCCAATTGTTCTAGCATCATTTGTTGAAAAAACTATCCTTTCTTCACTTCATAGATTTGGATATTACTTCGAGACCACCTGGACTGGAAGTTTCTTTGTAGGAAGGTTTTTAACTACAATTTCCATTTATTTAAGTACACAGTAGACCATTAAGATTATGTATTTTTGAACTTTAATAATTTATATCTTTAAAGAAATCTGTCCATTATACATGTGTCCACTATCAAATTTATTTACACACAGCTATTCATAATATTCTCTTATCATTCTTTTAATACTTGCAGATCTGTAGTTATATTTCACATTCCTAATATTGGTAATTTGTATCATTTTTTTTCTTGTCAGGCTGGCTTCATTTATTCTATTGTTTTTCTGTTTCCTCTATGAACTATTTCATCTCTTACTATTTTTTCTCTCTCTTTACTTGGGCCTATTGTGCTTTTGTTCTTTTAGTTTCCTACAATACAAGTAGAAAGCAAAGTCACTGATTTGAGACCTTCCTTTTCCAATGTTGGTATTTAATACTATAATTTTCTCAAGTGTGGCATTAAAGGTATCACCAAAATCGAGATACATTATTTTTATTTTCATGCAGTACAAAATACTTCCTGATTTCCCATTTGATTTCTTCTCTAGTCCATGGATTATTCAAAAGTACTAGTTTCCAAATATAGGAGAATTTTCCAAAGTCCTTTTTGTTATTTATTTATAATGTAAATTCATTGTAGTCAAAGAGCATACTATATGATTTGAATTCTTTTAACATTTATTGATCTTTGCATTTTGGCCCAGAAAATGGTCTATTTTGGTAATGTTCCATGAGCACTTAAAGAATATGGATTCACATTATGGGTGGGGTGTTGCATAAATGTCAATCAACTCAGGGTGGTTGATAATATTGTTCAAGTCTACCATATCCTCACTGCTATAGGCTGGATTCTGAATGTCTCCCAAGGATACTATGTTGAACGCTTGGTCCTCAGCCTATGGTGCTTTTGGGAGGTGGAGCCTAGTAGAAGGAATATTCCTTTAAGGGAATATTGTGACAAAAGCTCCTTCCTATTTCTCTTTCTGCTTTCTGGCTGCTATGAGGTGAGCAGATTCCTTCACCGTAAGCTCAACCTTGACACAGGCTTAAAAAATGAAGGGTTAAGTGATCATAAACTGAAACCTCTAAAACGGAGACCCAAAACAAAATCTTTCCTCTTTATAAGCTGATTAACTCAGCTATTTTCTCTCAGCAACAGAAAGCTGACTAAATGATTTTTACATATTATTCTACCAATTATTCAAAGAGAAGAGCTGAAATCAGCTAAAATTGCATGTTTGTCTATTTCTATCAGCTTCTGATCTATGAACTTTGCTTACAGTTTGTTTGGGGGGCTAGGGACTGAACATGATGCTTTGTATGTTAAGCATACACTTATCACTCAGCTATCGTGCCAGCTCTTATGTATTTTGAGAATCTATTTTAGGTGTAGAAACATTCAAGATTGCTAATTCCTCCAGGTTAATTGTCCCCTTATCATCATGAAATCACATTTTTTATCCTTGGCAATGTTCTTTGCTCTGAAATCTACTCTGACATTACTACAGCCACTTCAGCATTCTTTTGTTAGTTTTGGCATGCTGCATCTTTTTCTTTTTTACTTTTAACCTATTTTTTTCTTTTCATATTTAAAGTATATTCCTTGTAGGCATCACAGTTGAGTCTTGCTTTTTTAATCCAATCTGACAATTTTTTACTTTTTGACTTTCACCTTATCATTTTTTAATTAACCCATATGTTCTTTGATCCCTTTTTGTTTTTTACTAGTCTTATTAATACATTTTAAATTTTTCTCACATGTTAATTACAACTTTTCATTATTTTAGTAGTTGCTTTAGAGTTTTAATATATACTTTATGAAATTCTACCTTCAAGTGATGATATACCACTTTACACACTGCATAAGAAACTTAAAGTAGTATACTTCCATTTTTTCCTTCCAGCATTTATGCTATTACTGTCATGAATAATAATAACCATACAATTCATTGTTATTTATCTTTTTAAACAATTATCTCTTAAAGAGATTTAACTCATTAAGAAAGAAAATCTTATTTTCCCAAGTAGTTACTTACCATGTCCAATGATCTTAGTTCCTCTGAATGAGCCTGTATTTCCATCTGCTATCCTTTTCCCCTTGCCTGCAAGGTACCTTTCAATGTTTTTTGTAGGGTGGGTCTACTCATGAAAAATTCTCCCAATTCTTCCTAGTTTGGAAATGTCTTTATTTTTCCTTGGTTTTTAAGAGATATTCTGGCTGGGTATAAATTTCTAGGTTGACTTCTTTTCCTGATTTCAGTGCTTTAAATATGTTGTTCCACTGTCTTCTCACTTGCATTACTCCCCAAAATAAAACTGATGTCTTCCTTATCCTCATTCCTTCATACAAAGAATATTCTTTCTTAGAGTTTTTAATATCTTATCATTGGTTTTGAGCAATTATGTGCCTTCACATAGTTTTCTTCATGCTTCTTATGACCTGAGTTCTACTGAGCTTCTTAAATTTGTATTTATAGTTTTCATCAAAATTGGTAAATTTTACACCTATTATTTCCTCAAAACCTTTTCTGTCTCCTTGTGTCCTCTTGAAATTCTCCCACAGCTTATTCCTATTTTTATTTGTATGCTCTTTCATTGGGGGATTAGAATAGGGAGAATTCTTTTTGGATATTTCATTCAGGATAATTTCTGTTTGCTCTGGCTTCAGGTTCACTAATCTTTTCTTCTACAATTTGTAACCTACCATTAATCATATCTAGTGTATTTTTTAAATCTCACTGTAATACTTTACTCTGTAAATACAATTTTTGACTTATTTTTTATATCTTCCATGTCTCAAATGTTTTTAACAAAAAGAATACAGTTACAACATTTTAATGTCCTTGCTGCTAATTCTTTATATCTGTGCTAGTAACAGGCTGGTCTCAAATGGTTTATTATTCTCCTTATTTTAAGTCATGTTTTTCTTACTTCTTTGCAAACCAGGTCATCTTTGGGTGTCAGACGTGAAAACTTAACTTTAATCTTCTTAATTTGTTCTGCTACCCAGAAACAGCATGACCCCCTTTAGGTCTTGCTTTTATGACTTGTTAGGTGAGTCAAAAGTAGTGCTTTCCCTGAACTAATGGTTCTCCAACTTATCAATACTCTGCTGAACAGTCAAAAGCACCCACTACAGAACTGAGGTTTATCTCTCTGAACAGCTCTCTCTTCTCTGATATGCTATCCTATAGACTCCAACTGCCTTCAGGTCCTGGACCTAAGCTCCAACTCTTCAACTCAGGAAACTGCTTGATGCTTTTCGATTCCCACTCCCTGTGTCACAGTCTAGGAGCTCTCTTAAAGCACTAAGCTGGGGAAACTGTAGGTTCATATTATCTGTTTCCTATCTCTAAAGGATCAATGTCCTTTGCTGTCTGATCTCTAATGTCTTGAAGACCACTTTTCATGTATTTTGTCTGTTTTCATTTGTTTCACCTGGGAGGGTAAATCCAGTCCTATTACTTCATGTTGACTGGAAGAAGCAGATGTCAAATTGTAACAGACTATTGTGTTTACCACTAAGACAGTAGTGGTAAGAAACATAAACTTCCTCTTATAACATTTACACATAGAATCATATTACCTATAACCTTAAAATCATCATTTCACAAACTGTCTTTTAAATATCAGTTGTATGAGTCTTACTGATAATAATAAATATATTTTTACAGAAGTCTATTAAAATTAAAAGGAAAGTTTTCAATGGACATAAGAGATTCAATGTTTGAAAGCTCTATTACCTTACGTTTTACCTCAAAAGAACAAAAATAGAAAATGTTTTCCAACATGATAATCAGGTTAAAAAAAAAAAAAAAACTCAATGGGTCATTAAGAACACTTTAATTTAGAAATAAAAATTTTTCATCTCTTTAATATCACACTATATTCTCACCTATCAAACAGCGCCAAAAGTGTGAGTCTATCAAAGTTAATGCCAATCCACAGCTGGGGCAGGATCCAAAAGCGGTAATAGTGTTTAACCTTTTGGGCAGCTTCTTCTGTTGGACCATAAGTGGCTGCCAAGTCAGGACTCAGATCAATGTCCTGTTGCTCCAACAAATCTGTATCAATGGTCAACAGCCTATTCAACCGAATCTGCGGGAGAGAAAGCTAAAAGAAAGTCAGTGTTGAAAGGCTTAAAGTATCTAATCTGATAATGACTAGAAAGTTACTCACTCAGGTTGTAGATTATCTCAGCTCCTTAATTTTCTACTCTAGTCCACTCCCTGTGAAAACTTTACGATCATTAGAAAACCACACAAGGCAGCAATAGAAAGTGAACTAAAACTAAAAAAAAACCTTATCATCAACAACCTTTTGGAAAGGTTTTATTTTAAAAAGTTGTAGAAATCTCTAGATTTTATGAAGTCTAACCAATGAATCCATCAAAAGCACTTGCGGTGAATCATAAGTGGCTTCTTTGCTCCCTGTCACATTTATGCCGTTCTCAGCTATGAACTTCATTGATAGAGGCAAATCTGAGCCCTTCAACTCTCATATCTTCCTACAGACTTCTTATTATGACTATTACTACTTTCAAAGAAGACTATGCAGGAAATTGGTACACTACATTTTTTTTAGCTTTAGCTCATCTGTTCACCAACCAGTTTACCAGTTTTTCCCTTCCTCTGAAAGCACTAAATTTTACTGTCTCTGGCACAGCACTAGGCAGCATTTTGCTATCTCAAGTTCCCCAAACATTTAAAAGTGAAAAACAATAATATGATCATCTTCTCATTATTGCTTTCTTGTAGAGTTTCCAGGAATACACAAAGTAGAAACAGTCTTTGCTTTTCAAACACATATACTGAAGAAAACTTGTTTTCCATATGTAACAGTCATTTCTATCTCTAAACATTCAAAGATACTTCCCCAAATTTTACTTATCATCTATGCCAGGGCTTTTCAACCTTGGCACTATAAACATTTTGGGTCAAGATTATCTGTGTAGTGGGCCATCCACCACAACATGTTTCACAGGCTCTCTCTCCCCTATCCACTAGACACCAAGAGTGTTCACCCAGCTGTGACAAGCAAAAATATTTCTAGAAACTGCCAAATAGTCACTAGTTGAAAACCACTGTTCTATATTAATTTACATCTACAGTCTTAAAAACCTTGATCACAGTTTATCTTCAAGAAGACATTAAAAATTAATCCCTTTGGCACTAAATTCATCTGTATGTTTATTTATGTGTTGCATTTGTAAGTACTTCATCCATATTGTCTTTTCCAACTTTATATATATATACACACACATATATATCTTGATGGCAAAAGCTGTGTTACTTTAAAAAATTCCTCATTATATCTCATGTGGCATAATACAGTTTATATAAAATGGTCATTATTAACCATTCCACACACATAGTTGTTATCAGGGTGCCTAAGAGTTAAACTAACAGTTAAACAACTACACCAAATCATATTTAAAGTGAGGTTGCCAGATGGCACAATCATACTATGATGTTGATTAGTAAATGGATAATTGCTGATTCACAAATGTGGATGCTTTTAAATTTTATGATGTACTGTTTGTTTTTTATCTAAGGACTTATTTGAAGAGATTCTCTGTGGGGCAGTAAAGATGATTTTGGACATAGTTTTCAAAAAAAATTGACATTTGTGACTTCATCAATATTTCTGACTTTTATAGTATCTACTTAAGTCTATTTTTTGGATAAAATATCTGATGTTATAAAATTAAAAAAAAAAAAAAACCTACCACATCATGTGGATAAAATCGAACTGAGGTAGAACTGGATACATGAGAATCCGTGTCACTAAAATAAAATGAAAGAGACTTTAGGGAATAAATAGTTTGTCAAATAGTAAAAAACAAAATAAACTCCCAAACAATTAGATGATATTTACATTATCTTCTCTTTTCCATGTAAACTTCAAAATACAAAATGGCATTTTCCTAGAGTTGTGAGTAAGAGCACAAGAGTTTGGGGCAGAGTGTCTAAGTTCAAATATCTTCTTCAGAGAGGGAAATCTCCAACAAGTTAGCTAAGCTCTCTATTCCTCAAGTTTCCTCATCAGTAACAAGATAATGGCACCCATATCACAAGGTTCTTGTGAATGTGTTTAAATGAGATAATCCAAAGAAAGCAATTAACAAATTTCCTGGAATCATTAAAAACAAAGTAAATTTAGGCTATAGTATAAAATAGCATAGAATGTAACAGTTCAATTTTGACAGGATGAATTCTGTAACTGGACTAAATCAACATGCTGAATTGAACAATCAGAAGATCCAACTGCTTTAAGTGGCCCCTCAAAACTCAAAAAATAAGTAAATTGCCCAAAGCTGAATAATGCATAAATGTGTCCCATCATTAAATGGAAGTCCTAAATAGGAATTAATGACTCTAGAAAGAAAAGTGAACTAATTAGTCAATAATGGATTTCAAAGCAGAAATCTGAGTCAGATAAACAATAAAATTTTAGAAAATGGAATATTAATATACTCTAAAACTATAATTGATTGTAATACGATCCAGATTCCTAATTTATCTGCTTGTCTTTTAACTACTTCATTACTTTACAAATTTCCTCCTAAGAAACTAAGCGTAACATATAACACAAATTTTAAGAAGTTCATCCCGAAAGCTAGTAATAAATACATACATACATACATACATACAAAATAAAAATTAGTTACTTTAAAAAGCTTTTGACCAAACTCTTACTTGGAAATAAAATTCTAAAATTACATAAAAAAGACAACTGAAGAGTATAAAATTAGGAATGTAAATATTTTTCTAATAAGCTTTTTTTCATCATGAAACATACAGAGAACATGATTTGTATGCTTAAATTTGAAACTGTGGGAAAATGATGTCTTACATAAATTACAGCAAATTTTGCTTTAATTTTTAAATATATAATAGGGTTTTAAAATATTTTTTTAGTTGTTGATGGACCTTTATTTTATTCAATTATTTATAGGCAGGGCTGAGAATTAAACCCAGTGCCTCACACATGAGAGGCAAATGCTCTACCACTGAGCCACAACCCCAGCCCAATAGTTTTTATTTTTAAAATAATGCTTTCTTTCTTCCATAGCAAAAATCCTTCAACCTTAATTCTTTGGAAAGCAAGGCACTATGACAAATTATTAAAGTAATACAAATATATTTTCAAAATAACTTTTATATCTAACATAATGATTATAGTTAATATTAAATATACTTGTATACTTAACAATCACTAGGAGAAGATCTGAAGTGTCCTCACCACAAAAAAAGAGAGAGAGAGAGATAGGTATGTGATATAATGCATATGTCAGCTAGATTTGGCCATTTCATAATGTACCAAGATTTTAAAACATCATATGTACATCGTATGTACACCATTTTATCAATTCAAAAAAATTTTTTAAACCAGTCTTTTTATCTCAAGGCTTAAAATCTTTAAACATGGCAAGTATGTGCAAATACATACACATTCTTAATATGTCTTCCCACGTACCAGATATTAGATGCTCTTCTTGCTGCTGGTTCAAAATTCACAAGTGACATATCACAGCCACCAGTCTCATAGAGTGTAGAAGAGAACTTACCTAGCAAATAAATGAATTTTTAAAAAGCCATTAGAATACTCAAAAATTCGGCTTCATGATAGACTAAACTGCATATTTTTTTACCTTTAAAAAGTACTATTAACTTTTTCCAATATTTAAAAAAGACTGATCTGCATGTAATTCAGTATGATATAAACTGAAAAGAAATATTAGACTATATTATAAAAATGTCAAAATATAACCAGATATTAAAAGTCAGAGATGTAAGTCAGCTTTCTCTTTTATCCTACCAGCACAGTCTTGTAAATATATTCAAGTAACCATATGAAATAATTTAATGTTTAACAGTCACCTAGCCACTCACTAGAAGAGATAAACGGCTCTATAAAGCTGCTTAAATTTTGAGATATTTCAATCTTTTAATAAAACTTTTTGGTTTTGGTGTGATACTAGGGATTGAATCCAGGAGTGTTCTGCCTCTTATCTATATCCCCACCTCTATTTAAAATTTTACTTTGAGACAGTGTCTCTAAGTTGTTGGAGCAGGCCTTAGCCTTGTGATCTTCTGGCCTTAGCATCCCAAATATCTGACTACAGGCCTGAGTCACCATAACCCATCTGTTGGTTGCCTTTTTTTTTTTTTTTAATGAAAAAATGAAATGTGTTAAAGTGAACTGAATGAGTATAATAATGTTAGCATTAACTATTTAATGAATGTTTTTAGTTGGAAGAGTCTACCATAAGGTTTCTATGAAGAATGTAGGAACAGTAATTGTTATAGCCAAAGATCACTACAAACTGATAAAAGGTTTAGAAATTAAACTGATTATAAATAAATGTAGATTTTTAAAAAACAACAGGTCTCAGGAGCTAAGCCCAGTCTCTCTTCCCCACTGAAAGACACTTACAGTGGTCCCTACACCCATCAACATGGTCCTCTCTTGAATATAGTATGCCTTACTCTCTTACAATAAATAAATAAATATCAATAACAACAACAAAGATCCAGCTGGCTTAAAATGAACTTTATAGAACAATATGGTTTCTGATGATAAATTTGACAAAATTCTGGACAATGCCTGAAATGCATTCTTGAAGACCTATGGTGCTGTATCAATGATTAAATAAATTAATATAAATTTCCAGGAAGGCAATGAAATGAAGTATATTAACTCTGCAACCACCTGGGTCTAGTCCAAGCTGTTTTAGTATTTATAAGGTTTTTTTGTTTCACTAGTTGGAATTACTAAGGTTATAAATATGAGAATTCAAAGGGCAATTTCAATTTGATGGCAGAGCTAAAAGTCAGATTTTTTCCATGCCTACAATGCAAACAGTATATAATAAGGATTTTTTTTTTTAATTTCCCAAGTCCTAAGTTTTCAATTCTGAGGAGATAACAAATATCCAAATATTATTTCAAAGTTACCCTAAGTTGTATATCTGTTGCTAAATTTTATGTTTTAAGAGCAATGCCACATCTAGGACACTGGGGCAAAATAGAATAGTAAGACTTACACTAAAAGGACCCTAAACATAGTAAGGATATACAGAACATTTTAACCATTACTTCATTCTTTAAAAGGACTGTACTCAGAAAAATAACTCAATAAAAGACTCAGTACTTTCTATGGGTCATGAGTTAGTATATGTAAAAATTTATTTTACATGGTGCTTTTTATAGTAGCATTTTCTTTGTCAGAAAAATGTACTCCTGAGATAAATTTTTTTTTTAAAAAAAAAGCTCTCTATGGAATACTTAGTTCATTGCTGTATTTTTTCAAGGAAGGATTATTCAACATATGGATTACCCAACCTGATGTCTATTCCCTGGTTTTCTATTCATGAGTCATTCAGAAACCAGATAATCCAACAAAAATTAAATATTACAAGCTTTCAATTTGTCTGCTTCTTTCAAGCATTACTGAAAGTTTCCCTGAGTGATAGAGAGGGATGAAGAAATTATTAGTAAATAAAAATTAAGTAGGGCTGAGGCTGTGGCTCAGTGGTAGAGTGCTCGACTGGCATTTGTGAAGCACTGGGTTCAATCCTCAGCATCACATAAAAACAAAGGTATTGTGTCCACCTACAACATACATACATACATACATATGTGTGTGTGTGTGTGTATGTAAGTAAAAATGTCAGCCGAATTGAAATTTTAAATTGTAATTTTTCAATATACTACTATATTCTAATTCATCATAGATACTCAAAGATTGGCTGTGCTATCATAATTAAACTTAATAGGAAAAAACCCTTGATCAAAATCAGATTGCAAAAAAATGCATAAGAATCACAAACCTCTGTTAATTGACTAAATCAATTAACAAGATTTAGAATCTTGTTAAGAGTGGAATGCATTCACTTATGTGTTGTAACATAAAACTTACGTGTATTTTAGAAATAAGTTAATTCTGGATTCAACAGAAACTACTTAAACCATTGCAGTATATCCTGAGTATTTAAGCTTTCCATAGGATTTTTAGTAACAAGTACTGTTCTTAGTTCTAAATATTCCTAAGTATTATTAAGAATAGTTTTTATATATAACTAAAATCAACCACTGGTAGTTATAATTTTCAAATTAAACAGTAAAAGAATATTGTCATTTTACTACATGTTATCTTTCATATATAGAGGCTTAGTATTAAACTTATATAAAAGTTATAAAATTCACAAATTTAAACAGAAGCATAAAACATGTCTAAGAAAAGGGAGGCAATGACTTTAATGGAGATACACGATTTCAACTCTGCTTATTTTCTTCCTTAAGAAGCTTATGTTTGCCGACTCAACTTTAGGAATATGTTCAGATTTTTAACGGCACTTGTCAGAACATACTCAACACTGTAACCAGGCTTCATGGTGTGATCCCAACTTAACTGCAAAAGAACAATTCCATGTCCTCCTTTATCTTTGGGTATGGCACCTGACAGCACTTCAGAAGTACCAATTTTATTTAGAAGATAAACAAATTAGAAAAAAAAAAATCATACCCCAAGCTGTCAAGTGCGATGGTGCATGCCTATAATCCCAACAGCTCAGGAGGCTAAGGCAGGAGGATCACAAGTTCAAGGCCAGCCTCAGCAACTACGCAAGGCCCTAAGCAATTAAAAGTGGCCAAACCCTGTCACAAATAAAAAGGGCTGAGAATGTGGCTCAGTGTTAAGTGACCCTAGGTCTCTAGTACCAAAAACAAAAACAAAAAAAAAACCTGAATAGCCCAAGGGTTTAGTGAAAAACTTAGAATATTAATATTTTAGTGTACAAATATGATAATCTATCAAAGGCAGCTTCAAAAATAACTGAAACAGAAATATTGCTACCGATTTTATAAAAATTGACTATCTTAAATTTATGTTTTCTGTCTTATTTGAAGTCAAATCTACAATCATATTTAAACTTTAGATTCAAAGTAAAACGTACCCTTATTATAATGCTATTTTAATACTGTCTGGCATTAAGAAAAATACTTCAAATTAAATTTTATTTCTGATGGGGGCTGGGGTTGTGGCTCAGTGGCAGAGCGCTTGCCTCACACATGTGAGGCACTGGGTTTGATCCTCAGCATCACATAAAAATGAATAAACAAAGTAAAGATATTGCATCCGTCTATAACTAAAAAATATTTTTTTAAAAATTTTTATTTCTGATGAATACAAACTGGGCAGAAAGCAGAACATCAATGAAATATGCCCTTTTCCTGTTAATTCTGATTGTAAACTAAAGCCATCTCATCATGATTCAACTTCCAGTTCATAATTATACCTGACAGGGCTCTCTTATGACTTAATAAAAGAAAATCAATTTCTGACAAAAAACAAAACAAAACAACAACACACACACACAAGACTGGAAACTGGAATTTCAGACTTACAAAAAACTATATTGGCCATAAGATAGCATCTCTAAAGAAAAAAAAGGAGTATTTTCATTTTTGAATATTAAACAAATGAATGCCGCTGTCTAAAAAACTCAAAAAATTTTAATTATACAAAATCATTTTTTTTTAAACTAGGAGAATTTCAAAGTAACCGCAGGCCAATAAATAAACAGTTGAGCATCAGGAAGATCAGTAAAATCAGATACTGATTTAAAGACCAAAGACACTTGGATCATTTGCCTGAAACCAGGAATGGCACAGAAGACAAATTCTAAATAAACACTGGTAAATACTGATAAAGGACATGTTAACATAATGGAATTCTATAACTTGTGTTATCAATAGAAATCCTAATCACCTGACACAAAGAGGAGCACATCAAGAATTTAAAGAACAGTACTCACCTAAGAAACTCCTACTTTCATTCTTGATGTCACTTTCTCGTTTCTAAAGATAACTATGTACATTGGAAGGAAGTGGCTTCCAGAAGGACAAATCATCTCTAGGCTTGTCCTAATCATCCAAGTACCAATAACAAAGATAGCCTCTTCAATTTCTTCAATAATTTTTTGTTCTTTGACCTCTAACCCCTTCTGTTCATTCTGTGTTCTCAAAGTCTAATCCTGATACACCATCTGACTTCTCACTTTCCTAATATTACTTTTAGGGTAGGAAGGGACTACAAGAACAAAAGGAGATACATGGGCAATAAAATTTATAAAATGGTTTTTAGAAGACTACTAGAAAACCTCATACAGCTATATGACTAACCTAACAATGCTTACACTTCTGACAGTGATGGGTATTGTGTTCACAGTGCTATGTCAATGAATATATTAGATTTTAAAGAGAGAAAATCTTTAAAAACAGTTCTAATTTCTTAGACAGCACTCCTTATTACCATGAATGGTGACTGAGTCTCCGAGGTAACATCATAAGTTTTCACCCAGACAAAAATGACTCATTATATTGCTACTTACGAGCTAATGGACTTGTTTTAGACTTTCTAGGTCAGATTGTCTTTACTAAGCAACAATTCAAGTCTGCCACTGTAAAATAAAGCAGCCACAGACAACACATAACATAAACACATTTATTTTATTTATAAAAATAAAAAGACATCAAGCTGCCCTTCGTCTACAGGCTACAGCCA